AATGATATGGAGACGACAATGATAGTAAATTTTACAACATTTTGTCATTTGCTCGTTTGACACTCTGTGTTATAAATAAAAATAATTCGACTCAGATAACTGACAAGTGTAGTTTCAAGTCTCGTCGTTACAAACTATCGGTATGTTACATTTTTCTCCGTATATTTTATTTAGATTTTGATATCCTAATTAATATTAATTTTATAATAAATATTGTTTGTTACACTTTTACATCTAAACCACTGAATCAAAAAAATATTATTATTCACTTTGGTATAGAGATAGATGTGAAACTGAGATTGTTATAGGCTACTTTTTCTTGCAAAAAAATTTTAGTAGGTGGAGGAGAGGTAATTTTTGTGTGAAACTTATTTACTTGTCCGAATTGCTTCAAACTTTGCACAATTATTATTATATATTAAAGTATACATATTTCTTTTTCACATACTACTTTACTGCATAGGGAGTGAAAAGGAGGTAGCAAATTTATATGAAAAAGAATTCTTTTTCTCCGTATACTTACAACCAGAATAGTTGAACAAAATCAATGTGAACCCGTGTAAAACTGCGGGTGGATAGTTTTATACAAATATCTTGTGCTCAAACATTAGTAACAATTTATAGTAGCTATTACTAAACTTGCAACCCTATGTATACTCTGTTACGATATTGAATAATATATATTTAAATAAGAAAAAAAAAATATAATAAATGACCTCTCCTCGCCTACCTTGTCCAGGGCTGTACATTAGCGATTCATTTTGATATGTCATCGCTGCAACGTCGGTAATGCCCTTTGTGGAAGCCCTCGTCGGCTCAGACCGATTGTAATCCCTTTTTATACTGCATTATTCAAATTATCAACACTTTTGTATCGGTACTGCTAGCAACAAAATTATATAAACACACGAATGAACTTTATTACGACATAATATGTTACATTTTCGTATAATTTCGTATCGACACTTCGTGTGTACGACAGTCGTGAAAGTACAAAACATGGGGATTTATTTATAATACAATATGTATGAAGGTGTTAATAATGCTAAAATAATAATTGTAGAAAATATGTGTTTAATTGAGGTCTCCCATACCTGGACGACTGTAGTAGTGTAGCGGATGAACATACAACTTACTTTCCGATAGTCGCATGTTCGATGCCCGCACTTTTGTATTCTTAAGAATGTACATATATTTGGTCTGGACGTTTTCTTTGCATCATATATATTAATAAACAATAAAAAAACATTAATTCAATATAATATCAGTTATGTAGTACCTACCCACAGTGCAAGCTCTGCTTATATTTTAACTAGGTAGCGCTGTGACAATAAATGTCTGGTGATTATTTATTTAATTTTATCACCGAATTGTTTTCATGTAACATTAAGAACTGAACCCCGATTCTTTATCACAGTAAATTAGAATAATAAAATCATGTTTAAGATATTATTAATTAAAAATCTACAGTTTCGCGTGTTTTTTTTTTTTTTAAATAAAATATAACCCATGTCATTCGCTAATAATGTTACTTTCTATAGGTGAAAGAATTTGAAATCAATTAAGATTTTTTTTGAGTTTATCCATTACAAATAAAGCAATAAAAATTTCAAACTTTCCTATTTATAATATTAGTTTAGATTTTAGAATATACTTATAGTTACTTATATTTGTTTTAAAGCCTGCATAAATATTTTAATTTGTAAAACATAATATTAAATATATTAATGATAGTACTAAACAGCTATGTTCTTAATGAAGTAAAAAAAGCTGTAAATTATTAATCGTACGTTATAATTCGATTACCTCAAAGTCACAGGCGTTATAATTTAGCCATAAAAGTCTAAATGTCTATTTAAATATATAAAATACTGAAGTATTTTTATAAGCAATATCACGTGTAAGTAAACGTTATAAATAACGAATAACGCATTTTATTGCAGCGAAGTCACAAATCGTATCGCAATATCTAACATTAACGTCCAGAATATTGGACATTACCGTGTCTTACGTGTTAACCGTTATTATAATATCACATGTTAATATATAAAAAAACGTGGTCAATCACAGAGAGCTGCTCTTATAATATCACGCTTTTATTTATATTATCAACTAACTTTTTTCCTGCTGTTTAGTACGCGACCATTACTAAATGGCATATCAAATTAAAATATACACCAGTTTTTAGACCTTCAGGAATACAACTGTGTTAATTTTATTTGTTTATTTATTTAATACTTTATTGTGCACACTAATAATACAAGAAAGTATGACAGACGTAAGCAAAGGTACAAAGACGAGCTTAACTCGAAAATATTTCCTTTTATTCCATTATATCATTCTTTATTTTACTAATATGATAAAATTGTAACTAGAGGATGTCTGTACGTGGAACATATTGTTGAATGAATGCGGTTTTCACAGTTGTTTCCAAAAATCTAACTTAAAATCTTTTTGTTTCATTTTGTTATCCCGTCTGGATGGGGTATGTTTCATTGGTTTTCTTACTTCTGAAATACCCACAAACGAAGTAGTGGACAAAAAGCTAGTATTTATTTAAACGTATGAAAAAAGAGTTCTTATTTATATTAAAACCTAGAGTGTTTTGTACAGATTACTTTCTTTTCGATGTATTTAGGACGTCTTATATCCAATTAACTGTATTCTAGATCTATGTGTCCAATTATTTGTTACATAAATCGAAAATTACTAAAACTAATTCTATGACTAGGATTAATCTGTCTTGAAAATGAGGACATGTCGTCTTGTGACAGTAAATACTCGTATTATGATTTCACCTAAGATTTTGCATCTCTTACGTCAATGTGACGTCTGTTTCATTACGCAGTTAAACGCCGTATTTTCTAGTAATCTTTTTTTAATTTACGTAGATCTTAATCCCACCGAGGAAAGGTCATAATCGAGCGATGCCACTTCGGTTCATACTATTTTGATATCAGCGCCGGCTTTATAAATTATGCCACGGTATGTCCGGTCGTCATTCGTGATCTCTTTGTCTATAATAAATTATTCAGTATATTGTTTTTGATCTATACTTTAAACCGACCCTATGACTTCATTTTAATCTCCAGAATTATCGTGTTCTATAACATTGACAAGAACTGGATAGGGATTTACATAAACTTTTTTAATGCTACTTACCCTGATTTATTTTTGTTAATTTTCAATATATTGTGACACATATTTCTATACAGTCTTGACACCAAGAACAAAGTGACATTAATCTTGATGGATTTCGCTATTTATATTATGCACCATAATTATTGATCGGATATCAACTTGTACACGTAACAATGTGACGTCGCCAAATCGCGTCCAACTGTTTCTGTTGGCAAGGCTTGCTTGTCACAAGTTTAATCATTTTCACTCCATCATCCCTGTCCTTAACAGCCCAATCCCATGTTGCAATAGCACGACCCACCTGCGACAAGACAACAATAAATTGTTCCATAGCAGCTGGTCACCTCAATCAAAAATCACATTTTTATATCATCTTTAACATTAATAATGCTATCAAAATACGGTCGAAATGCCAAAACGACGGTCGGCTGTAAAATATAAGCGCCAATTGCTAGGACATCTCCACAGAGCTATTAAATAAAAGTCTTTTTACATTAGATAAATCGCGTACGTTATTCGGGAACATCTGTCCCTTGCCGATTACGCCCATACATTATGCTCAGTTTGTTGTTTTTAATAAAAAGTTTAATCCGTTCGGTTATGACGGCAATTTGTCAGTCCGATGGAAAAACTTGGTCGTTTTAACGGTGGCTTGCCGCTCACATGGGGTACTACGGCAACCTCGTTTTTTTATTCGGTGATTATGTCACTCTTATTTATGTATTCGCTTTTGTCTTCCATTAGCGCTTTTCGTTTTCATCTCCACCGCTCGTGATTCACTTAAATGTTTCACTGTCAGCCGCAGTAAAGAAGTTTTAAAAGCATGTTTTCATATTTGCATCAAAACGATACTCACCGTCCGGAAACCCGTCTCATCGAGTTGTTTCGATTTCATCACCTTATAACATCTTACTCGGTACAACCATTAACAATTCAATAAGATCTTAATGAAGAGCTGATAAAATGTATATAGTGGCATTCGTCATGACTCCCGGGCAATTAATCGGAGGATCTTTTTTTGGGGAATTTGCGTTATGGGAGAGGAGATTTAGCGACCGTCACTACCCTTGATTTGTGCATGTATTTTATTGTTTTCTTTGTCGTGAATGGGCTTTAATGTGCAATATATTGTGAAGCACAAATTTCCCGTGGAATGATGTCTCGTTAACAGCGATTGCCGAAAGCACTGCAATTTAGGAGCCGGTCGTTACCTCGGTGTTCTTTTGTTTCGGAATTCTCGACTCTTTACCACTATTTATTATAGTTGGTATGTGGAAGTTGTTTCTTTGTACATTTCGAAAGACTTGCTCTGTTATGTTATTAAGAAAAGTATGGCATTAAATGAAAGAAAGTTTCTACAATTAGATACCATTCCTTGAATTCCATATTTACTTACACGTCATTATTAAAAAATAAAATAGAATAAATAGTTTCATCTTCTAAATCTGGTCAATAAAAATAAATTTGGAAATGCTCACAGTTCTTACGATATAGTAAATATTATTAGACTTAGATTAGTCGTCAGGTATAAGTTTAGTAATTGCATTAAAGGCATTTAAATCAAGACACCGGTGTAACTACCGTAGCTGTTATATTAATGCAATACTGTTTTACTTAGTAAGTATATTGCATTACATACATAAAACACCAGTCAAGATTGTTGAAACCTTCAATATCCCTTCTATCTATTTCTTGATCTGAATCACTGGATGATATCCTTTGGGTTCAGTCACCGCCAAATCAAAAACTAGTATATTTTTTACTATTACATAATTTTAATACTATGTACGTATACGAGTTTTTAGTTTTATGTTATAAGGTTTGTAAATATTGAATCTCATAGTAGCTATTCTTTCCAGAACCTGGGCAATGTAAGCGCTGAACTAGAACTCCAGAGGCTTCAACAAGAACATCTGCGTAGACAAGAGCTGGTGCGGCGCGGCCAACATGGTTTATACCCTGGACCTCCTCTCGCACTCTTGCCTCTTCTGGAGCAAATGCGACCACAACCACCGCCGGCCCCTCCTAACGTAAGATATAGACGATTGAATACTCCAAAATTTTATATACACTAAACATCCACACATTTTAATGATTTTCTATTTAACTTTATTATCAAACACGCTTTAATGAGATTGTCTGGCATTGAAAATATTGAATAACAATTATAAGTTGAGTATTCCGATAGCAAATAACTTAGGATTTTACCTATTCTTAACTTTTCTTTATTCGTGTACTATTAAAGATGCTCATTTTGTTTCTATCTCCATCAATTCCTCTCTGTTGACATTTCATTGCTTGTATATATTTCTTATTCTCAGCTCTTCTCTTCATAGCATTATTATACCTTCCATCTTCACAACTATACAATTATGGAACTCTCTCAGTCACATTAATTAAATAGTGGTTCACTTTATCAGTGGCATTATCAACAAATATTTTAGACGGAATAAAGATATTTAATGTCAAAAATATCGACTTTCGACGTGTCGTCCTTTTCATTAGAACACAATTTTAAATATGACACAATGTAACAAAACATATCAAGAATAAAATGGGTTTATTGGAAGTTTTATATTTATATTTAATCTGTTATTATATATTTATTATGACGCCAATATTAATGACAGATTACGTATATTCGTGTTGAACTAAACACTGCCAATTATTTATACACAGCGTTGGGGTTAAAATAGCTTTAACATGTCCATCCATACAAAATGATTGTCTTCTTGCCAAACCAATTTGTCCGATATACCTTGCATTTCCTTAACTTTGTATTAATTTGTATGACACGCTTAATAAAAAATCTCTTATCAAAATATAAAATTTTGTTGAAACTTTTTTATTCTTGTGGGTAGATATGTATTTCTGGACGTCACAAATTCTCAACATGATAAACTGAGAGAATTTGGCGTTTGTCCTGAGTATCTAAATGAAGTTGTTTTAAGATATATTACATTAGACTAATGTAAATATTCATACATTAGAATTAGATCAAACTAGTTGTTTTATTTGCTATAAAAATAAATAGGGTTATTATGAGTTTGGTTACCAAAAAACAATTTTTAAGTTGGCAATCAAGCACATAGTTCACGTAATGGTTAACAACCATCATTTACCTTGAACGCTTGTAAAACTAGAGGTATCATATCACGCCCACGTTGTCAAACCTTTCAACATTAATTTCTTAACCCTTAAAAGCCTGATTTTTTAAATCAAATTAAAAAATATATAAGTGTACCCTTTACTGTTTTTACCAATGGGGAAAAATAGTAAAAAAATCAAAACGTTATTTTTATATATTTATTTTGATAAAAGAAAAAATTGGTTACATGTAAACAGCCAAATATTAAAATAAAATCGATTATAGGCGGCAAATGCGATTTATAACCCCCGTATCAAATTTGAAACTTCAGGTATTTAAGGGTTAATCTATAATACCTAGTAATTTTACTGATACTTACATATATTATATGTCATGTTACAAATCAGAACAGAATATGTATAGGTACAATCAAGTCCTCATTATTAACGAGTTATGTGCTAAGCTAGGATATACTCGTAACCTACCCGTGTATCAAATTTTATTCAAATTGAGAACAAGAGACAGACTTCCATTCATCCATCCATCCATCGTTTTTTTTTTATACAACTTAGAATGGCAAACAAGCTGACGGCCCATCTGATGGAAAGTGGTAACCGTCGCCTATAGACATGAGCAGTACCATGGACATAACAAAGTATACTGCTTCGCCCATGAAACCACTCATGCGTTGCCATTACTGAGAACTCAGGTGTTATTCTTCTGTACCCTGTAAATCCACGCCATATCCCACCCTTCAAACCGAAACACAGCCATGCAAACACAACTGCTTCACGATTGAAACACGAATAGGACAGAGGTACCCAAGCAAACGACTTTTGCACAAAGTATCCCTCTGGTAACAAACTTATGCATTTATTATATTAATAGGATAACCTTTCCCTCTCCAAATGCGGGGCAAGCATTTTAAAATATTTTCAACCGACATCGAATAGAAGGGGGTTCTTCATTCGGTTGTTTTTTCGTTTAATGTTTGTTACCTTATAACTCCGTCAATAATAAACCGATTTGGAGGGTTCTTTCTTTATTTTAAAAGATATACTTACATATTGGTCCCATAGAAATTTCATCAAAGTCGATTCAGAGGTTTAGTTTTTAAAATTAAAATAATTGTTTTCGCCACAATTGAAATCGCCTTTTTTGTGGATTATCATTATTTAAAATTTTATTAGTAATAGTATTTCCTCTTGTGGGGAAAGAACCGAATCCAGTAGTGGTACAGTAATGGGTTGTTAATGTAAAATAAGATTGTTTACGTTACAATTCAAGTTATCTACATACACGATGTTAATTCTGGCTACACATAAAAAACGAAAGTTGCACTAATTGCCTACCTAACTGGTATTTGTTATATAAAATTATAATTAGCCGTATTCAATGTACCCTCCATTCGTCATCCAGTTTTTTGACTATAAACATTTCATTTGATGCTGATAGTCCGCTATTAATTGATGTAATTTCCTCTCTCTCCGTCGGAACGGTTACGTCATTAGAAAGATGAGCTGTCCGATTGTTAACTGAACTCATTTTTGTTTCGAGTGTCTTACGTTCTTAATTAACAGAAAACTTAAGTTGCTACAACAGGCACCTATAAAATTAATAGGTACTACCAGAAACAAATTTAAATATACCGTTTAATCCTATTATTATCTGTATATGTTATATAAAAATAAATTGCTGTTCGTTAGTTTTGCTAAAACTCAAAAATGGCTTGACTAATTTCAATACTTTTTAGTTCGTTATAATATAGGAGTGGTTTAAAATAAAAAAGTTTGAAAACCCTTTAGGGGTTTAGAAAAAATCGGAAAGTAAAAAATTAGTAATTTTGTATGGAAAAGGCTACTTTGGATTATTTTTATTAGATGCCTTTGGAGATGATACAAAGTTCACGTGGATAGATGTTTATTACTTTTTCACGGAAAAACTATTGAACGAAATTGAATAAAATTTGTTGCACAAGTAAGTTATATGCTAACTTAGAACATAATAAAACTCGCGGGATAGAGCTAATAATATAGAATTTGTTTAATTTTTTTAAATTTAATAATATCTACTACTACCAAGATAGGATACAAATAATTTATAAACTGAACATATAACTACTGAAATATTTTCTTTGATGTTTTAATTATAAAAATAACCAGATCGACTTACATGTATTTTTTCAAGAACGCTCAACTAGTTTCGGGACCATCCAACCTTTAACAATAAAATTACTTCTTTGATGTTACAAAAACTATTTCTTTATACCGAACCCTATCCCGCGACCTTTCGAACATATCGTCTCGTGTAATTCTGTTTTTTATTAATTTTCAAACGTTTTTTTCTATATAACACCTGACCTAATATATAATGACCTTGGAATTAAAACTTGGGACTAAATTTAGAGCTATATTATACTTTTTTTTACTTATTACCGTAATACTACGAATAATAATGTGAAACATAAATTAGATCAGTATTTTTTAAGTGCCCACAATCATACAAATGGCGTGGTCTTCAAGCTAGAATACCCTGTGTTATGAGAACCAGGTAATGAATATCTGGAGACACAACTCAGAACACCCAGAACCGGGCCAATTTAGGAAACGAAGTTTACTAAATTGGCCGACCGAGAATCTTACCCGGAATCTCATTAAGACAAAGCGACACACCCAGTACTACGCTGCAAAGATCGTCAAAATTTTTAAAAGTTACACTTCATCGTACCAGCTGTTAAACATAATCCTTCTCCATAAGGGGAGTTTTGCCAGTAGTTGCCATGCTTGGCAGGCGGGTTGACAACCGCAATTAGGCTTATAGTGATGTTTTCAGAGGGACGTTGCTGCCCATCCCTCTATCATTAAGTTTCCTTAGTCACCTATTACGATATCCACGGAAAAGTAAAGGATGACCTATTTTAAGCCGGGACCTCACGGCAGAAGTTAACTCCGCAAAAAAAGTTGCACATACAATGTCTTTTCAGATTAATAGAACGTAACTTTTTTATGTAATAAACATCATTAAAGCAAACCCCATAATTTTCCAGGTGGTGCCATCATCTCCTTGGCCAGCGACAGCACAGCTAGCCCAACTGACCGCCAGCGCGCGGTCACCCCCACCCCAAGACCCTGATGCACCCCTCAATCTGAGCAAGCAGCGGTCACCATCACCCGCGCAGGCGTCCATCATGCTGCCCCGGTTCGTGCCATACCCTCCTATGGACGAGAACCCTCAGTATAGCATGCAGAAGGAAGAAGATTATAATGCCGCTTGCAATAGTAAGTATTTATATTATTAACTAGCATCCCGTCCCGATTTCGCTTTTTTTTTAATAAAATACAGCCCATATTACTCGCTAATAATGTATCTTTCTATAGGTGAAAGGATTTTTAAAATCGGTTAAATATTTTTTGAAATTATCCATTACAAACAAAAAATCTTTCCTATTTATTTTCAAATGACTTCCGAAGGGAATTGTCGATTCGTCTAAATTTTTTTGCCAATATCTTACGTATATGTTCGTCACACCTGAACTGAATTTTTACCAATCTATTCATAATCAATAGTAATTTTGTGGCAATTGAAGTTGCCATTTTTCTTTATAAAGCAAAAAAACTGCTTATTACGAAATAAAACATACTTGTTAATGATGATGATGTATTTATAAAATATCTCGTCATTCATGTTTGTGTATATGTGTACATGATTGCAGTCTATAAGCAAAATGTATGCAGTTATCACTATATCAATGACATATACTTTACTCTCCTATTCTGTATATCAATGACACAAGTATGGTTTGATCCCCAAAAAATCAACTGTAATTATGTCTCTTTTATAAAAACACAGGGGAAAAGATTGTTATAACAGGCCCATTCTCATACTCTACCAGGTCGACTTCCACGTAGTTCCGTCTGGAAACTATCGTGGTTCATTCTTGTCGAATTCATCACGATGGGCCAACAGACCTGCTTTCTTTCTCACTTATTCGTGTTATCACTCACTGGTGCCCCGCCAGAAAATACCGATAACACAGTCGCAGTTACCATTCTTTTTTTGTTTAAAAAAATACTATAAAAAATAATCTAGGTATTGTATAGTCTTTGATTTTAGTACATGAATAGTGGATGTGTATGTAGAACATTTTGAAAATCGTCTTCATACGAATGCGTACAAATGTTTTCATATTTTCTCGCGTTAAATTATAGAATTAGCCGTATATTTTAACATAATTATTCACCTACCTATAGAAATTAATACTTATATTAAATTAAAGCAGGTAATTAATTATATTCCTTGTATATAAATAAATCAGGAATGTCACGAAATGTAATACCGTGTTTAATGCAGCGTTACATCGAGATAACAAAAATAACATCGAGAGATATTAGTATTTAAATAATGTAAATACGAACTACAGATTCAGGTGATACTGCCGACCCACTTGGCAATGGGAATTAGATATATGTTTTCAAAATCTTGGGTTTACATGATTTTTAATTCAGTGATTGTAGAGATAGAGATAAACTAACGAACGAGGAAGTCCTAAAAAGAGTGAACGAGAAGAGAACATTGGTTGAAATAATAGAGAATAGAAGAGGCAAAATGCTGGGCCACCTTATACGACATGACGATTTTTTTAAGAGTATAGTAGAAGGAAAGATAGAAGGCAAAAGAGGAAGAGGAAGACCGAGGAATAACTACATGGGACAGATAAAGGAAACACTAGGCGTCATGTCGTATAGGGAGATAAAGGATATGGCCTGGGATAGAGCTGGCTGGAGGAAGATGCATGAATTAAGTGCACCGACAAGAGGAAACTCTTAAATGAAAAGAAGAATTGTAGAATATCATAGTTTGCAAACATATACTAAGCCAAATGTATGAAACGATACAATCTGTGGCTGCTATGAATAGATACATCGTGTAGATTTTATATCTAATGTCTTAAGAAACTTCAGAGCCGGCATACAATATGCATGTATAAGACCAAAACGGACGACTAAAAGGAATATTAAAAATCGTTATCACTCGCTTTAAAGCTTATTGGGTGCATTATATTATTTCGAACTTCACACTATTATAGTTGTATATAATAACAAGATCTAATTACTAATTATTCTAATACAAATTTTTACTCGCGACATTGTCTGCGTGTTTAAGATATTGTGGTTAACCGGGTTAAAAAGTAGTCTATGCCCTTTTCTATCAGATCCATGTCTATACCAATTTCATGGTAATTGGTGGAGCTGTTAAAGCATCAAAAAGTAACAAACAAACTTACTTTCACTTTTGTAATATTAGTGACCGAGTTGTAATGTGAATGAAAAATAGCTTATATCCTTAGATTACATAAATAGAGCATCGAACGTCAAAAATGTGTCATAATTTAGTCAGTTAAAGGGGCATTAGGCTGATTAAAATTTGACACTTTTTTTATAATCAAATACGTGTAATTTTTTCAGTATTGCAAATAATATATATATATATATATATATATATATATATATATATATATATATATATATATATATATATATATATATATATATATATATATACGTTTTGTTTACGAATTAATATATTTGTATCAATTAAAATAGCAGCCACTTTCAATGCTTTAAAAACAAAAGCAAATTTTATGTCTATACTCATAAATAAATCAAAGTAATTAGTAAAGATAAGGCTCACTATGAATAATTATTTTCATCCTGTTATTTCAAAAATATTCGTAAAAATGTTGTATGTGTTTTATTTAAATCTAATCTCATAATTTTTCTCTTATACTGAGTAATAAATGTACCGACTAAACCGTCTTTCAAAAAAAGCGTTAACGCACACTTTTTATTTTTATCCGAGCAGTACTTTATATTATTCTCAATTTCGTGTATAATATAGTATATGTCATATATGTGTAAGTATATTTGTTATTTATATATATCTATTCGTTTATATATGTAATTTTAGTATGTATGTATATCAATAATTAGTAGTACCGCATTCGAGTATTCTGACACTTCCCTATGGTTGACTGGGAGAGAATGCTTTTAGCATTAAGTCCGCCATGTACACATATTTGTACTAATGAATAAATAAATAAATAAATAAATAAATAAATAAATAATAAATATACATTATGGTAACCCTATTCTCGCGTACGGGTTAAAAAAGTTGACCTGCAGAATTGAAGCATTTGTATGGAAACGCTCTATCTATATAATCTAAACCTATATCCTTCTCCAACCTAAATAGTGCGTATATCTTTCGTGACGATAGTAGAGATTAAGAGTGCGAAAAAAATTCTTTGATTAAAACATTCGTCAACGAAAACTGTACCTATCATAAAAACCTAGTTGCCCAATGACACACTTAGAAACGTATGACTACGTGAATCAGATAATAGTGACGATAAGATGGCGTCACACGCACGCAAAAGATCCAAAAATATGGCGCGGCTGCGCGATCGGATCATTTATTAGCCATACAACCGGTGAAGACATAACCCCGTCAAATTTAAAATTGCTTGCGGCGTTTGTTTGTGTGATTTATACGTCGCTCGACACCCTTTGATCGTAATGAATGGGGGGTCTTAAAAAATCAAGGGTCATTGGTTCTTAATTTGAAATCATTTATCAGATGCCGTTTAAAAAGTTCAGCTATTTGTTGTCTAATACTGAACGTAAGCTTACTCCATAAATCCGTGCATTCCAACGCACACCTAGGTTTATACAACAATCAAACTCGGAAGTCTTTACATTTGAACTTATCACCCCATCATCGTCATGTGTACATGTTTTCTACTAAATAACCCTTCTTTGATCTTTACTACTGACGCATTGTCACTACTTCGGTCATTTTGATCAATTTGCAGACATTCACGATTCCGATTCAATCAATGAAACTCAAACCAGAATAATAGAAAATTGTTAATTATTAATAAAGGAATATTTACTAAAAGAATAATAATAATCATCATCATCATGCCAGCCCTTAACTGTCCACTGCAGAATATAGGTCTCCCCCATAAGGGAGATTTTGTCAGTGGTTGCCACGCTTGGCAGGCGGATTGGCAACCGCAGTTAGGGTTTTGGTGATGTTTTAAGAGGGGCGCTGTAATTAATCCTTGGACCATTACGTTTCTTAGTCACCAGTTACAACGTCCATGAGAAAGGGAAGAGTGACCTATTCTGTGCCGGAACCACACGGAAAAATTTAAGAGATATGCTACATAAATTACAAACCACAGTGTGAATATGACGTGCAGTGTACATAGTCATTCGCAATAGCACATTATTCGTGCAATCATAGATGTTCACGCGAATCATATAACACGTTACACCTTAATCACAGTTTAATATCACAGAATCCACGCATTGCGAAATTCGTGAACGAAAATAAACAAGGAATCGGCTTAGATAAATAGGCGGTTACGTCGAGAAATGCTGAAATGAAGAAATGTGCCGTATCGCCGCCAAACATTTTGATGTTTCGCATTTAATTGCTAAATATAATTAATACGTTATACACCGTAAAACAGTTATACTCCAGTAAATACTGTGCTCGATTTAGGACACTGTCGCTTGATATTTTGATATGTTTCCAGCTGGTGCATTGAGAACTTTGTGTTTCATTCAACACTCACTGTCGAATATTATGCCGTTTTCTAATCTCTATTGACATAAATGTATAATTGTAAAATCCACCTTTGTTGTAAAAAGCAACAATTGAGTATCTTGGCCATTCTTCTCAGCTAAGATTGCATTTTGAATGGACAGTAGAATCTTAAAAAATAATTATTCAAAACTGATTGTGATTAGGTCTACATGATTTTTTTTTTATTTTCTTACATTTAACTTATACAGTTAAAACAAAATATGTCAAGCATTTACATTACACAATTCCCCAAAGATTAGGATATACTTAGGTATATCATACATTCAATAATTATTAAGTTTCTTTCAGCAGTCAGATAAAAATGTAAAAGACTTAATAAGGCTCAGTAAGAAAGAATAGAATTTTGTCAGGATACAACTACCAAAATTTTTGAACATAAACCTAGATACATGACATAAAGAAACCCTTACTTGTTTTTACCGAAGTCGCTTATATAAATATACATATTTATATTTGAAAGAAACTGCTCGTTTCATAATTTTGCAGCTCATTTACCGATCTGAATTTATTAAAAAATAATATCTATTAATTTATTCTATTATAATATATTACTTATTAAGATAACAAATGAAAATAGAGTCAAAAATATGTTAGTTAGAACTGCATACAGGAGGAGTCATGAACTAAAGTCAATATGACAAGTATACCTATGGTTCTCCAAATAGTTGGCTCACACCCAAACTAAAATGGTTACAAAATCGCAAGTGTCGTTGCGTTTCCTTTAAAACAAGAAAATTAAATGAAATGCAAAATAGATGGCGCTCGAGACGCAAACTTCCGTTCCCCTTCCTTGGTACAGTGATGTACAATAGTATTTATTGAAATTAGTTTCTAAGTATGGCAATTGATTGTTATTTTTATTTATTAAATGTAGAGCGATAATTTAAAATCTGTTAGAGACCAATAATAATAATTTAAAGTTTATTCCACAAACAAAAAATACAGATACTTTAATCAATCGCAATTATAAATGCCCTATCTTATGTAAACCTTATCGATTGAAAAAAGTATTATCAAAATCTGTGCAGAATCAACTAAAACATTGCGTAACATACACATAAGAATATAAACGGAATATACAAATAAAAAAGGATAAATCGTAGTAATTTATTGTTTTAAATAAAGATTATTATTATTATTATTTAAAAAAAAACCCCTCTTTAAATAGTATAAAACAAATTCCCTCCCTGCGAATGTTTCTTTCTGCGCTTACTTCTACTAATTATAGAAAACTACGAATACGGGTTACAATGTCATTTTCCAATAAACATTAGGTTGCTTTTATAAATCGACATATTAAGAGTTAAAGAGATTCATTATTCTAACCTAGTTTTAACAATCATCACAATTTCTCATCGAACGATACCAAAGATCTGATTTTGGATCGAGTATCGCGCGCGAATCAACCGCGCCGTAGGATGTTATAAATTATCTAACAGCGTGTCAAATTAATTCGAGGAATGCACAAGCTTTGAGTGCTGGATGTTTCCGTACGGGCGGGCTTATTAATTGTACGGACACTTGGTACCAAATCCGTCAAGTAAAATGCTAAGCGGACGCTGCCAATATTTGACCCACATATTTCTGTTGGCCGGTGGGGGGTGTCTTTACGCGCGTAACCCGACAGTTGCATAATCGCGCCTTTTCATCGGTGTAAACGATCTTTAACTGCACTCCATGCTATTTGTATCGTGCTAATAAAATTTGATTTAGTTGCGTTTGGTCATTATGTATGCGAGAGCGGTATTGACAATTTATTTTCATTGCAAATGTTTATAACCGCCGCTAGTGTGATTAAACTTTTACTCGCATATTTCGATATAAACCTACTAATGTATTAGGTGCATAACTAGTTACATTAGTTACTTACAATGTTTTAGTCATTTAATGTATTGCAACGGTATAAGATATTCTGTGCTATAGATTTTATGTTCGTGGTGTAAAAGTAGTAAATATCTAACAATTTACTAATTAAATCATCACCATCTTTTCAGTCGTTATCTGTCAACTATTGAATGTAGGCTTTTTCCATAGATTGTCATATGGAACGGCACCACCTTAAGCCACCTGTACCCATTACTGAATATTTCCTCTTAAATAAATTAAATATTCTATCAAAATAATACTCTATATAAATGGAACGAAGAGTATCTAAACTAAATACTTTTATGATTTACTGTACCTATTGTGAACTCTTAACGGACCTTCATTACCGATTATGATATTACCACAGTATAAAAAATAACCAGTAGCCAAAGCTTCTAACATGTCTCGAAAGATTTCTTTGATTGTAATATTACTTATTATTATTAGCTACATCCCACGGCCTTGCCTTCGTGAATTAGGACGAGAAATCTTCGGTTTCAATCTAGAATATTTATCATTCGTGTAACTGTAGCAGTTTAAATGTAATTAAGAAGTAAATATTCAAACATATTTATAAACTTTCACATATAAGTATTTAAAACACTTATATACCTGGGCATGTGAGTGTTATATACTGTATTCGCTGTTTATATTGTAACCACAAGTATTTTAAATAACATCATATAATCTCGGTAACATTTATTTTATTTATTTTTTATCTCGCGTTAATCTCTAAACTCGAGTTCAAATCAAAACAAACAAGCAGGAAAATGTTTTGATCTTAAAAAAACTGTTTTGTTATGGAAAGTTTGCCATCGCCTCGCTTTATCTCCGCTCTAGAACATCAACGGTTGACAAGACAAAAATTACGACAGCTGTTAAACTACATTTGGACATTCCGAAAATTTTTATGTATACTTTAATTATAATCTATTCTAATGAATTCATCACCATAAAAATGCCTTTACCGCTTTCGTTAAATAGGTTATTCCGATCCTAACACCTGTCGAATACTAAAGAATTTTCTAAGCGATTGTACTTATTGGCGAAATAATAAAAAAAAATGGAATGTGATTCTTGATTCAATTGTTTGCTTTGCGTAAGTTTTTATTTTTTATTCTTACTAATAACAAAAAATTAACAAAGGTTTAACCTTTCTTCGTTCTACTATTAAGTAGGTGGTGTCTAAGTATCTTTTTATTCAAATTATATAATTTACACTACAAATGTAGTCTAATTAAGGACCCATTATACAATTTATATCGGACTTCATTCTAGTATTTTTCCTTAGCCAACATCATAGTTTCTTAATCTCTGTTTAACGATTGTTTTATGGTTCGTATTCTCTGCTTGAGATAATTTATAGCTCAGCTTACTACGGCTTCCGATTAAGTTCTCCGGTTTAGACACCTACCCAAAATTATTATACGATGTTAAAATTTCATAAATGATTTTACGGTGCTTAACTTTATTATGTGGAAATACAAAAAAAGAACGGGATTTATAGTGTAGACACCGAACATGGACATATGTATGTTTAATATTTATAGAAACATATTAAAAATATATATATGATCGTAAAAATGTTGAAGAAAGTACAATGACACAAGAATTTTCTAAACTTACATTGATTTATTTCGTATAGACCAGCTAATTGTGAATATATTAATTATAATTTTAAGACTTTTTCTATATGATGTAGCGATTTATTATGGTCTCCCACCTTCGAATGGGTTCGATCCCCGAAAGTACACTGTATATCAATGTGCACCTATTTCCATTTTTATTGGTCTGTACGTTTTTGTATGTAGATACCGATCCAGATACTATGTATTTTTTCTCTAATACCTATGGTACAAGCTTAGGTATCTATTTTTATTATTATTTAACTAATATAATACAGTTGTAACTAGGCAACGTCTAGTTACAACTAGTACATGAAAGATATTTAAGAAAAAATACTAGTAATATTAAGGGGCTTAATAAGACCAATAGATGCCGAAAAATTTTTTTTAAATTTTGTATGTATGTCTTTATGTCTATTCCGGCATCATGCAAAAACTACTGCGCCAAATTGGCCACAGCTTTCGCAGTTGTCTAACTTAAAAACTAGTGTACACTTTTATCTTGATATGCCAACTAGAAGCAGCCTATTTTATTGTTTACCCTACTTCTGAAATTCGTGCTTAAGAAATAGCGGGCAAAAAGCTAATGGCTAATATAATCGGATTTGTAGCATAGAAAAAATATCTTTTCATTTATTGTATATAGGCTCTTCAGAATCCTCAGAGCTCCTAATAACATTGTTTTATCAGTATTTAAAAAAATACATTTTATTATTTTCCAGCATCATCATGGGGTCAATCACCGCCCGAAGAAACGGAAAAGGCGAAACTGGTGCGTCAGCCGAAGAGGGACGAAGCAGGGAAGCCACATATCAAAAGACCCATGAATGCGTTCATGGTGTGGGCAAAAGATGAACGCAGGAAGATCCTAAAGGCATGCCCTGATATGCATAACTCCAACATATCCAAGATACTCGGCGCAAGGTGGAAGGCGATGTCTAATGCTGAAAAGCAACCGTACTATGAAGAACAGTCGAGGCTGTCTAAACTTCACATGGAGAAACATCCTGATTACAGGTTAGATGTCTATCATTTCCCATAAATAAATAATAAATGTCATATCAATCACCTGGCTCTTAAGATAGGATAACACAAGAGTAAGTAACAGATATGTGGAAGGATTGTCAGCACTAGAACTAGTGGTACCAGTTATTTAAACTGGTACAACTAGTATTTACTTTAGTTTTGCATTTTTGACCTCCTAAGCAAGTAATTATTTCTTTCCAGGTACCTATATGAATGATTAATAATTCTACTATTCGTTAATTTCAGGTACCGACCGAGACCGAAAAGAACATGTATAGTCGATGGCAAGAAAATGCGGATATCAGAATATAAGAATCTGATGCGCTCGCGCAGACAAGAGATGCGGCAACTATGGTGCCGAGACGGTGGGAGCGAATTAGGCTTTCTTCCTCTCTCTTCACCCGGCCCATCGAATTCTTCACCACCTCCGAACGGAGGAAACTACATGAACCCAACGTTTTCGCCTCCTTTATCCCCAGGGGAGGATGATTGAGGTACGGCGCGCGGCTGGCCGTACCCGCACGCCGCGCCCCTGTCTCTTCCCCCTACACACCACCCTTGGTAAACCCCTCCAGGAGTTTGATCCCCAAAGTAACTACCAACAGTAGTAGTACAACGACCGGTTACTATTCAAAACTGAACCTTGTAATCATTGAACTTTCAAGTTATAACTAGATATTTCTCGTGTGAGACATAAAGACTTTAGCTTAGTTAATAAACTCTATAAGTACATCACTTAATTTGTGATTATAAGTAACTATAGTTTAAGCGAATCATGTCTTTGGATGCCAGTGTCTCAATTGGATCTCTCGTATAATATACAAATAACTATTGTTATGAGATTATTCCATTAGTGAATTAAGACTAATAACGACATTTATCAGGTATAAATAAATATAAATCAGGTGGTTCGAGTGACTTGCTTTTTTATTATTATTTTTTTTTTTACTCAATGAGTACAAACATTATGGATTGCAAACTCAAGTTACAGATTCTTAGATAATTTCGAAAATACCTACGAGGGGAGGATGATAAGTTTGCGTTCTCAGGTGCTTAATGACTGAAGAGTATAGTTTTATATTTTTTTTTATTTTTTAATATAATCCCCCTCAAAGGAAATACACATTTTATATTATGAATACAAAGCCTTTATGCCTTTGAAAGAATATTCTTTGGGTGTCTCCTCGAAATGGTTTTCTACAGCCGCTTTCATCTCGCTATCGTCCGAAAATCATCGTCCTCGTAACTCCTTTTATAAATTTAAAAAAAAAGAAGAAAAGTCACTAGGAGTCAGGTCTGGATTATAGGGTGGATGATGATTTTTTATGAATCCCGTATCTTTTAAGGCAACTCTTGCAACACGAGCGGTGCGAACGGGCGCGTTGTCTTGCAAAAATAGCATTCCGCGCGCTAACTGGCCACGTCTCTTCTGTACAACTGCCTCACGTGCCTGACCAAGTAAATTAGCGTAGTACTGTCCGTTCATTGTAGTCCCTTTAGCTAACTAATCAATTACTGTAATTCTCTTGCTATCCCAGAAAATGGTAGCCATAATCTTTGAACCCGACTTTTACATTTTAAATTTCTTTGGTGCCATTTCTCCCTTTTTTCCATTGCATCGATTCTTGTTTAGACTCTGGATTATACTGGCGAATCCAGGTTTCATCAACGGTGACAATGCAGTTACACATTTCGTCATAATCACTCTAACACAGTTCTACAAAATTTTACAGCTTTCCAATCGGCGCTGCTTGTCGGATGGTGTGAGCATTCGCGGTAGCCAACGCAATCCATGCAAAATAATTTGTGTGCTTCTACTATCATAGATAGTAACGAAAAATAATAAGTAGGTACTTTTATTTTTGATCAGTGAGTGATGATAATATCCATATATATATATAGTCGAGTCCATTTTTTCACCATTGCATATGAAGTTGCATAATCCTGGCGAAAAAGTTTGTTTTGGTGTATTTCCTTTTCTAACAAGGAATTTATTTACAGCGCGGTGCTCTAATTTGCGAGAATTTCCAGTTTCTGACATGGTGTTGTTGATTGTTCCAGGGATTGAGTGTTAGCGAATTAAATAAAAAAATAGGGTATTATTTATACTTACAGGGAGTCACGGAACTAGTATTATCAGTAGTGAAACGATGAGTCATCGCTAAGTACCTTAGGTCGCAAACTTATCAGCCGCCCCTCGTATGTCTGATATTTTAGTTTTATTATTCTTCAATACATATTGGATAATTGAAGATTATTAAAGGTATGTTTGTAAATTTTACTTCAAATAATATCTAGGTAGTAACTGCTCGAATTACACTTGATTGTGTATGAACCTATGAAACCATTTTATAAAAGGCGAAAGGGCATAGGTAGTTAATTGTGATTATCATTACTCTATGTAATGAACTATAAAATTATGGGTCCTTAAAAATGACGGCACTAAAAACTCTATTATTAATAGGAGATTGTGCCAAAGTCATAAAAACCAACAACTTAGGAAAAAAATGTGTATATATAATATTTCAACAAATCCAGAAGCACGTAACTGTTTTATATTAAGTTTTTTTGTAAATATATTATATTCCCTTTGTAGATAAACAATATGGACTTTGGCTAAAGGTTAGTCTAAGATCATTGCTTAGAACTATATTAGTTGTTAAATGGAAGTACTATTTGACTTTTGAGTGGCCATGTATAAATAGTAGTTAATTAATCAATATACTTAATAATTGTAGAAGCTCTAGGCCTTAAGCGACTAAAATGTATCAAACCAAAAATTTGAAGCGAAAGGCTTGAAAATTTTATGTGTTTTGAACACATCTGTTTATACCAAGTGAGATCTTAAAGCATAATGATTGTAATAAAATACTCATAGATTAGATGACATTGGTAATATATGTCTGTAATAGTTATAAAACTACAGATGACATTGTATATTTTACATCAAAAAGCCATTAATATTTTGGACATTTTCTTCTGTCCATATTTGATCTGATTATGTAACTAAATATTCATATTATGAAATTAAAAATTGATGTTAAAAGTATGGTAGTTTACATCGTTTCTTGCATTAAACCCCATCACTATTTCGGACATTTCCTCCTGTCCATATCCGACTTAATTATACAATTAAATATTGATATTATAAAATTAAAAATTGGTGTTAAAAGTATGGTTTGAGTCTAAAATTGTTGGTCAATTCTGATAAGTCAATTGTTTGATGCGCAATGAATTTTTTTTTTATACACAAATACATATATGAACCCACCGATGCGTTGTGGGATTATATATTAAAGAACATAATATACTATAATAAACAAAATGTTCGCTTTATCGAATCGTGCAATTTTATATAGTAGCTAATAAGTAAATCAGTAGTCGGTACAAGCATAATATTTACGTAAATAGGTCAACAAATTGTATAGAAAACTTACATCGTATGAAAAACGTATGTTCGTTGCCATTTTTTTTTTTTAATTTTGTTATTTATTTTTCTAATTATAAAACTTGTTTTGTTTTATTTCACTCTTTTTAAGCGTATGCCAGTAAAACGTGAACTGTATGTAGAGTTAGTTTAAGGTTCGTAAATATAATATCATGTGTATGTGAACTTTAATGTTTGTCATATTAAGTAGTGTGTACCTATTATTCTTAATAAATGTGTAAGGGTTTAGACAGTGACGTTAAATTATTTATTTTTATGTTGAATTCCTGTAAATATGCGATATTTTGATGTAAAAGTTAGCAATTGTGGTTATTTTATTTAATGAAGGGACACTTAGTAATTGTCTTCTTAAATATTATAGATCTCCATTATAATTTTTTTATTTATTCAAGGCGATTCAATTCGACGATGGATCGCATAAAATTACAAGTTTACATTGGGTTAGTTATTGACACTGCTCGAAACGAGTTCTTAATTGCCATTGTATGAAATTAAGTGTGAAGTACTATCGCGTCAGTAGATTCAAATAATTTTGAATTAAGAAATATCAACTCCTGCTGACAATTCCACGTAAACAGTACGACACAGTAGCGCCATTACTGACTCCAGTAACTGACCCAATATAAAGCTACCTATCCACACCTTGCCATATAGTATGTTCTTATTATCTACATCACTTAGAAAACAATTACTTATTGAAAATGTACTTAATGGTTACAAATTGTTATTTTTTATGATGTTTACTATTTTTGTGAACGGATCTGAACTGTTAATTCTCCACTTGTACTACCAGTATGATTTAGCATTCGAAAATTATTCAAATGTATAAGTAGATAGAGTTTAGGTTTTATTACCTAGTGTAAACCAGGACACATTATTTAAAAATTGTGCCAAAACCCAAAAGTAATTAAAAAATAAACATTAAAAATATACTATTCAGTTTCATTTCTGATTGGTGCCTAATTGAATTACCTAATCATGACATTTGCATCTAGTTTCACCAATAATCTATCATCATTATCATAACTGCCTTCTTTACACTGCTGAATAGCTGCTAGGTTATAATGTACCATCCTTGAGGGAGGCACACCCCACTGAGGGCCCTAGGAGGTGTGCGCACGTACCCGTGCGCCTCCTGAGACGGTAGGATGGGAAGGGCATTCCCCATCCTAAACACGAGAGGTGGCCTGCCCTACAACATCTACAGGGCGGGCCGTCGCGTCGGGCTCCGGTCGTCTTCAACTCGGGAGCCCGGGGACCCGACATATGCGCCTCGAGGTACGTCGTGAGGTTTTAGTGGGTAAAAATCCCACACAACCCCTCTGCCTTCCCTCCGGCAGTTGGGAAGGTCTTTGGAAGATTTCCTCACGTTAAAAAAAAAAAGGTTATAATGTACCATATCAAGTCGACTTTCGCGTGAAAATCACAGTGCTTGTTTCTTGTCAAATTCTTCGCGATAGGCCAACTCGCGTCGTTCCATCCCCATCTATCTTCTCTTATTAGTGCCTCGCCCGCATATACCGATAGCCGCCTGCCAAGTGTGACAACTACGGACAAAACCACCCAGTAGTGGGAGGTCTTTGTTCACCAGTGGACAATTAACGGCTGATATGACAATGATGATTGCAAAAACAATACCCAATCTGCACTTTATTCACAGCTTGCATTGTGTATAGTTTTAATAAATATATTAAATTTAAAAATTATTTCTTATTATTAAGACAAAAAAGGTAATATACATAATGTATTAACGAGTTAAAATGAATGCTGATAATATTATATTTAACTTTAAGCTGTTAAGTATACCAGAAAGAGAATACAAAAGTCGTTTGCTTGAGCACCTCTGTCTCATGGGTTTCTACCGTGCAGCAGTTGTGGTTGCATGGCTATTTTGGTTTGAAGGGTGGTATATGGCAGTGATTTTACAGGGTAAAGAGGAATAACACTTGAGTCCTCAAGAATGGCAACACCCCCATGCATCATGCATTGCCTTGATGCATGGGCGAAACAGTATACTCTGTTATGTCCATGGTACTGCTCATCTGGTTACCACTTTCCATCAGGTGGACCGTCAGCTTGTTTGTCATTCTAAGTTGCATAAAGAAAAATCAAAATCTTACTATTATTATATGATATTCAGCAAATATGTTTTATACCAAGGGTGGCCAACAGGTCGATAACGATCGACCTGTCGATCGCGACTATTAGTCCAGTCGATCGTGGCAAGACAAGAAATATAATATTTTCCTAACCTAGCAGAAGATGTTCAGACGCAATGCTCACACTAATATAAATAAATAGTTACTAAAAATAATTTATTGGTAGATCGCATAGGGTTTCGTCAGTAAACAGTAGATCTTGGGTCTAGTCAAGTCGACCACCCGTTTTATACTTATCTCTATGTATGATCGAAGCCATCAAATAATAGGATTATTTCTTGCATTACTTTATTCATGATTATAATACATATAGTTTTATACACACTTTAAGTACTAAAACAAATTATATATTTAACATAATATATAATACGTATACAAAATATGATATGGCTACCTCATTATTGCACTTACAAAAATATTATATATTTTATTTACAAATTTGAGTACATTTTATACTTATACTATTACAATAGTGATTTAACAAATGTATTAAGTACATTAATTTAATAATAATATATTCGGTATAATGTATATAACATATTTATATAGGATTAATACTTACAGTATTATTACATTTGATTAGTTTTTTTTTCTTCATAGATATAGAATATGACAATAAACACATAGATTTAAGTATCAATTCATTGTATTAATCAACTTTAGCTAATTAATTATATACCAAATATATGTTATGTATATGCCATGGCTTAAATAATGTAGATACATTGAAACTTACTTTTTTGATTTAACGTTCATAGGAAATCAGCTACAGTCGTATATAAAGGTAGCCTATAAACTCTTAATAATAGAGGGCGCCACTTTTAAACGAGTAGTGGTAGTGGGAACATGTCAGATTAATATAGTATAGTTTTTATTCCAATTTACACGGAAAAAGTCGCAGGAAATAATTACTATTTGTGCAAGCTAATAATATTTAATTATATACATAGTACTATACTTAATAAGGAACTGAATAAAGCAAGGCAGCAAAGCTCGTCGTGTTACATATTTGTATATAACTATAACATTATATTCTTTTATGAGTATTATTAATTTTATATTATTCGAAATTAGTTTATTAATAGGACATTTTACAAAAAAAAAACTAAAGTTAATAAAAAATGTTTAACGATTTCAAAACTCCGTAAATTCAATAATTATTAAATTCAATTTCACAAAAAAAAAAACATAGCGTCATATATATTATCCTAATACTGTTTTGAAATGGCAAGTAAACTGCCGGTCCACTTGATGGGACGTGGTAACTATCACCCATAAACATGAATAGCACCATGACATTACAAAATATACTGTGATATAGTATCCCTTACACGTTGCCATTCTAGGGAACAAGGTATATTATTTCTTAAATTTCAACATAATATTTACTTAAATAATAGTAACTTACTATTTACTGAGATTATGTTAATATCCACTCACTGGTTACAATAAGTGTCATTGTGTTTGTCATAAAAAACATAAAAAAGGATTTGAGTAGAAAAAAAAAAACATAAAAAATAAAAAGAAAGATTTAAACATTGAGTGGAAATAAATAATGTTGATTTAATACCATTATTATATAATTTTAAACATTAATTAATAATGTATTGCATTTTAGTCTGGTTTTGTTTTAGTTCGCTATCAGAGTACTTTTTAAATAATCAATCAGAAATATTAAAATTTATTAAATTATTATTGTAAATTAACAGATAAGAGGATATTCAAGTACTACGTAATGCACTTTTTGAAAAATCCTCCCATTCCCTATGTAACGCGCTGTTCAATTTTTCTTGTAGTTGCGACGTAGCTACGCTTCGTCAAGCTAAACTTATGAATGCTCTTAAACAGAAACTTAAATATTATTTATACCGAAAATTTTCACTAATTGAGTACTGTGCCAATGATACAAATAACAAAAATATAGGTACAAGCTTGTCGAATATGAATCCAGGCCCTTAAGACAAGTGGCAAGCGAATTCGACTAGCTTGGAGTTCATGAGATAGCAACGTTTGGTATCTCATTCCAACTCATGAACTCGCTAGCAATGATGATTCCACCGATACATCCGCTTGCCACTTGTCTTAAGGACCCGGACATCACAGTAAATTAGCTACATTTACACTTTCCAGCAAATGAAAAACATTTGCCTATATCTTATTGTTATAGTTTCTCCAACTATATAAATTTTATTGGACGTGGTGAAATGTATAAATGAAATATAAATAAATGCCTATGTGGCTATGTATGTGTTCGGAACATCATATTATTTTATAAGTTTTTTACATATCATATTTAAAAAAAATCATTGAGTATAACCGAGCACCAAAGTTCGTTTTTATTAAGTTGGTTCTCATTTAAAAATTTCAGTTTTTGTTTGACAAAAGAAAATAACTTCTATTTTGGTAATAAAAGTAATAACAATAATACGTAAATATTTTTTTTAATAACGTAAAAACTTATTTGTTTACTTGTGTGTTATTTGTTTAAAAATGTGCCTACCTAAAATTTATTATTTTATTTTGCTATATAATTTTGAGCAATTTATAATATATAACAGTGAAAAATAACACAGTAAACCGTTTGTTGTTAAATAAGTAAAACATATTTTAATCTGTAGTCATTCTTTGGCAAAAATAACTGCAATACAAACTTATGGTTAATTCATAAAACCATAAAAATATAGCAAGTTAAACTTTAGGGCAAGACGGACAGAGTTTCACCTTATTAACATTCAGACACGCACCGTGGAACGTGTGGCCACATTTGAAAACCCACAAACCGCCATCTTGGATTAAAACTTCATTTTGCAATGGCAACCCACAGAGCACACAATCAACGCTTTGACAGTTAATAATTTCTGATAAGTTTTCTATAATATCTTTTAAAGTACTGTTTTTTATTTTACTAACGGTGAATATGTCGTCGTGAGTTATAGCATTTGATTTATCCTGTAGCGGTGTCAGACCCCACGTGTTTGAGTTTGCTGCCACCGTTATTGGCAGTGCCGTGTTCGCAATCTGTCCGTTAGAAGTATTGCGAAGTAGACGGCAAATCTGAAAATGTAAATTAATAGTAGAGATTCCATTAGGTGAAAGTATTTTTTAAGTGGCAACCCTTTGGGAGAAAAAAAAAGTTGTTAAAAAAATTACATTCCTAATGCAGTCAGCATCGCATCTCTCACTGGTATCGCTATCTACTCTCGCTAGTGTAAATTAATGGCAGGCTGGCCATACCAGCGGATTACCATTCTATTGTCACCATAAAAACATGATATTAATCACAATGAATTTCAAAAGGCCCTTTATGAGCATGTATAATATGCTGGATGCAAGTGGTACAGGATTGTACTTTATGGTGAAATTTGAGGTAGACATAGTTCAACAGTGAATGAAGGACAGATTTTTTTATACCACTTTGGTAGCAAACAAGCATACGTCCCACCTGATGGTAAGTGGTTACCGTAGCCTATGAACACCTGCAATACAATAATCAATCATAAAGATGATGATGTTACAGAGCATTACATAGTCTAATTAAACAAATTACTAGTAAATATAATTAAATATATTTTTAAATAAATACATATGTATTATACACAGAAAACATTAAAACCAATGTAAAAAAGGACAACAATAGCAATAGTTCACCATCGACAGGGAATTAACCTCAATAACTTAGACCCTAGATGTCTGAGACCCCTGGTATTGCAGATGTTCATAGGTTATGGTAACCGCTTACCATCAGGTTGTACCTTATGTTTGTTTGTCACCTTAGCGGCATAATAAAAAACAGAATACTCATAAATATAAATGTCTGATTTGATTAGACCGAATCAAATGGTCGGGCAAAATATTATTTTAAAATTTTATGTATACATAATTAAAGGGATTTTACAACATACAAAACAAGTATATAATCGTGGTGTGAAGAAGTTGTTTGTGTTGGGAGAAACATCAGGCGGTTAAGAGTTAAAGCAGCACCACAACACTGGGCACCAATGAGCGGTAAAATATGACATAAACTAATTCCATATCTTTATCATCTTATCAACTCTTTTTAAGCAACTTAATGTGAAAAAAAAACACACACAATCACAAAATATATTATTACCTCTTGGCGTGAATCCTCGAAGTCGTAAGATCTGTATAAAGTATCAGTAAGTTGGCTAGTTATAGTGGCATCATATTTCTCATACATGGATACCACTAAACTTGTGTGGTAAAACTTCATTGTCACTTCCCCTATATCTATAAGCTTAGCGTGTTTCTGCATCACCCTCAAAGCATTTCTACCACCGACAGATTTTATCATGAGTGCCCCCAAATCGTCCCAACTAAGCATATCTCTTACTGATATATGATGAAATTTCTTATTACAGTTCAAACACATATTGGCATGCAAGGTTGCATACAATTGTAATGCTCTGTCCCAAGATTCCATCGTAAACTGCGGCAGAAAAGAATGTAGAAGCCCTTCATCTAACATTTGTAACAATATTCGTAGAACGTTCAAAAGATCTTCATTCCTACGTAAATATAATATTTTCCGCCACAAATAAGGCATTTGTTTACACATCTCATAGCATTGGTTTCTAGACTGACTCGACCATTGTTTCTCAATAAATTCATCTATTAACTCAGCAAAAACTGGCGCCTGATTTGTTCTGGTATATGGTAGAGGGAAGCCACATTCGCAGCCAATATTCGAAAGTTTCTGCGTCTTCATATTTACAGATATACATGAGTCAACAAAGTATTTATATAAAACTTCATCATTTATTATGGAATCTAAGAGTGCATCTTTCTTTACAGTACTGCTAAGATAAGTTAAAAAAATATTATTCGGTGCAAATTTTGACTCTTCTAAAGCACCCACTGAGACACAATATTGTTCTAATAGTAACATTAGGTTGTAGAGTTCCCTAGCATCACAGACATTGCTCTCTATAGTAGAAACTAAATTCGATCTTTCCGTTTCCTTACTGACTATATTTAATCTAAAGAACTGATACAGAGATTTGCACAATTTATCATTTTTTAAACTATTATTGTCTATCCCTATGGCCTTTTGACTAGATTCTTTGTAGATAATATTATCATCTATCTCAACTAATTTATGTTCTATAGGCGAACTTTCGTCTTGCAACACCCTTTTGGGCATGCTGAGTTCTGGTATTGGTTGTGATTCATTAAAAATTTTCATTTTCCCTTCAAAATCTTCCCATTTTTCTTTTAAGATTTTCTTACTCGTATTCAGTTTATCTGATACTGTTATACTAAGTTCTTTGAAAGCTTGCAACGCGTCGGGTGATAATGTGCCGAACCTACTATCTTCGTTGTGTTTGCCACCTTTTACATCATTATCTAAAAGCGAAGATTGAGCTTGATATGTATTATCTACAATATATATACCAGACTTCATCTGGATAGCTTCATTTGACTTCAAACTGTCAATTTTTTCTAGAATATCGTCTATATTTTTCAACAAATCTTTATTATTTAATTTCTCTCTTATACCACTCAAAATATGTAACTTAAAAGAAAGATTATTGTTAAGCAAATGATCTCTATACAAGGCACACAACTCAGCACATAATACGTATTTCTCGTCTACATAGCATTGGACTAAAAACTTTTCAATTTTCGTATATTTTAAACATATTAGAGAGCCATTAGTTAACCATATGTATATAATGTCATGATAAATCTTGCAGTCCGCAATATCACCAAATGTAAACCAAGTAGTATCATCTACATTAAAGAGATTTAAAAAGTAAATAGCATCTTTTTTAAAGGAAAATATGGCACCATTCACTGTGTATAATTTAGGAAAATTCACAGACTGTCCCTCACAGACTGTGTTGTCTGTACTTAAAGAGATTATTTCATTGTTGTAAGACTCTAATGAAAATAACTTCATTGGTTGCTTAGCCAAAACCTGCTTAAATTGGTGTGTTCTTTTGACTGTTCCATCAATAGTTGCTTCCCATAGTCTAGAAGAGGGCCGTGCACAAAATATAAGAGTATTAGCCAATCCTTCGCCCACTGTGAATCCTGCATCATCGTCTACGATGTTGTACTGTTTAACTTCAGTGAAGTCGTGTACAGTTTGAGCTAGACTATTATTGTCATGGTTTTCTTTGTTAAAGAAGCATGCTCCAAACTCTCCATCTCTAAGTTTTAGCCCTATTTGTCTGTACTGCTCTTGTAAAGTGTCGCAAATATAGCATCGAGTAAAAGTAGACACTAAAAGCATATTCTCTTTTACGTCTAATTGGCAAATACGAGAGTCTAAACTCATTATAGTTTGGGATGAACTTTGGAATATTGTTTTCGCCTGAAATTGAGGAAAATGTATATTTTAATTATATGTTATTATAATATAAATTCTATTATATTGATTCACACATTCCATTGTTATTTGTATATAGTTTTCAACAAGAAATATATGCATTTATTGTTTTGTCTCCTTTTCCCAAATACAAGTAAGTTTGCAAACTTGTTTGGCGCACAACGATATTCGTTACCCTAAGGTTGCCTGAAAATATTGCTTTCAACAATGCCTTATTGTATTATATAAAAACGAGTACCTTATGGTACTTATTAGTTTAGCCGTTTAAATTATACCTAATAGCAAACATCCAAACATATTTACAAACTTTTTATAATATTAGTAGTATCGATTACAGAATTGTTAAATAAAAAAAATATGTAAATTAAATTAGCATCAGCTAGCAGCCAGTCTGTTAAAAGTAAAAACCATTGGCTACAGACATGAATATCATAGACATTACAAAATACATTGTAATGCCCACGATACCTTACCCCACATGCGTTGCTGTTATCAAGGACTGTGTATTTCTACTTCTGTATCCTGTAATTTTGCCGTGTGGTCCTGGCATAGAATAGGCTATCCATTCCTTTCCCATAGGTGCCGTAAGAAGCAACTTATTGATCGGGGGATGTACAGCACCGTCCCTGTTTGAACACCACCAAATCCTGCCTGCGGTTGTCAACCCGCCTGTCAAATGTGGTAACTACCAGCAACACCCCCCCACCGCCCTTATGGGAGACATATTTAGCAGCAAACCATTAACGGCTAATATGATGAAAATGAGCCTGTAATTTTGATGGCATGTGGTATCCTTCAAACTGCAGCAAGGACAGTACTCCCCAGCAGGAGGGGAAAGGGATTGTTAGCAATGGGGTTTGACAGCCCCATTGCTAGTAATATGCCCACTACACATATTAGATCGACCTCCACGTGGTTCCCCCTGGAAACCATCGTGAACAATTCTTGTTGAGTTCGTCACGATGGACTAACTGACCTGCTTCGTCCTCACCTATCATCCTTCACTGGTGCTCCGCCGCTGTATCCGATAGTGCAGGTGGAGTTACCATTCCATTAAAAAAAAAGCATTCCCTGGCAGATACACAAGTGAAACAGAGATACCCGAGCAGCTGAATTTTGTACAAAATCTCACTCTGGTATGTATTTATGATATAATAGTAAGCTACTTACAATAAAACTCTGTAGCTGCAACACTGACACTTTTGCAACATCGTCACCCGTAAACAACATATTGTTTCTTCCCCACACCATAGCAGTCACCTCGTTCCCTTGGTGCTCCTTCGAAGTTACCGTCAAGTAACCTCCGCCGATAGACTGATCACATGCTGTGACGGTGACCACACCTTTACCGTTGGCGAAGCCGATGTGTTTCTCGTCAGGCGATATAGCCAGACGGGTGATTGCGCCATCCTGGAATATTTGTTATAACTCTTAATTACTTTTACATGCTGCGTGCAACTGAGTAAATACATTTAATTTCATTGTTTTGCGTAAGGTTTGAGACGCCAGAGTTTGATTCTCAGTCACGTCAATAGAAAACGTTTAGTAGAAACCCAGAAATAGAGATTTCTCTCCCAGTCAACCGGTGACTGTGTGACACTTGTCACCATTTAAAAGTTCTTATTATGTTTAATGGTCATTTTATTTATTTCATACTGACGTAATGTACACTTGCATTTCTATAATTAACGCGAATCTAACAACACCCCATTAATCGCTGTGTGATCCCGGCATAATATAGGTCATCCATTCCTTTACCGTAATTGTGAGACGAGCAGCAGCTCTCTCTCCTCCTCGCTACCCCTTTAAAAATCACCAAAGCCTAACTGTGTTTACCAGCCCGCTTGCTAAGCGTGGCAACTACTGGCAAAACCTCCCCTTATATCTTATAGGGTTATGTTCAGCAGTGGACAATTAAAGGTTGATATGACAATGATGACTGCAAAATTAAATATAAAAATACAAATTCTTTTGTTGTACACTGACATAATGCAATGTTAATATAAATAAAAAACCATGACCACACATAAGTGTGATATAACAAACATACCTATTAAGTAGACCAATTGAATCTAATTTAACATAGATAAATATTAAAATACTAAAGCATACATTGAACAACAGGAAAATATTATATACCTATCTATGAATACCAACTGTAGGTTTTGTTTAATTTATAATTATGTTTTATTTACATATTTCTCTTCAACTCTCTAAACAGTGTGTAGAGTGTAGGTATCAAACTGCCTTATATTAATGAAACAGCCTTACCAAAGTAAAATAAATCTTAATTTCCCCATAACTAACAATCCTTTATCCCTATCTAGCAATTGGGACTACCATCCCCATAGCTATCAGGTTAAAATGCCCCAATGAGTCTACCGACTGGACTAAACCCTCACCTATTTCCCCTTACTGGTGTATTGCTAGCATAAACTAATTTGTTATATTTTAAATCAGTATAAAAATCTTATTATACATAAAAAATACCATACCTTATTTGGTATGAGTTGCACAAATTCACATGGGTTTCTGTTGAATATATAAATACCACCACTAGTTGCTCCAAAAGCTATTAAGGTTTTGGAAACATCAAAGCATGTGTACTGAAAACAAAAAAAAAATATATGAGAGGTTCAGCTCGTGTTTTCCAGTATTTTAAGTTTAAGGCTAATTATTTATAATGAAACTACTCTATAATCTTGTTCCTTAAATTCATTCAACTTAATTTAATATTCAATATAAATTGAACAATAATATTTTCTTTTACTATAGTTTTCAAAGTCTAACATGATATGGTTTGTGATCCGTAATTAATTATTATTATTATAGCAGTAAATGCCTTAAAAAATATGTATATAAAAAAACTATACACAATTGATTAGGTAATTCGAAAAAATACAGTTAAATCGAGAACCTCCCCTTTTTAGATTCAGTTGAAAATATAACACAATGTAATTTGTGTTTATACACATTTAAATTCATACTGCTTCTTGGTTTTTATGTCTTGACACCCATATTATTACTATGATAATGTTTCGAAAAAAAGATAGGTGTAAAATACGCACACATTCATTAAACAAGTAACAATACTATCAGTATTGATAAGAAATAGTGACAAATGGAAATAGTTGGTGCCTACATTGCAATAAAATAATATTTTTGCTATTCACGCATGTTCATGGGCAAAGGAAATTAATAGAAAACTTGATTCTATGCCAGAACAAAAATAATAACACAAGAAAAACAATGGTTAACTAACCTTTATACGTTGAACACTTTTTATAGGATATTTTATAGAATCTGTAATGTCAGGAAGTTCTTGTAATATATACGGAGGCAAATTGGAAGAAGACATTTTATTAAAAATACATCTTATTTAGTATCTGTGTAATATTATTTGTTTGATGAATCAACATTCATTTAATTCACACAAAAACAATTATTTTCGTACAAATGACAAGCCAAATGACAAGTTGACATCGACATTCCACAACATTGGACATTTTGACAGTAGTTCCACAACGGAACAGGCAAAGAGAACTAAGGCATTCAGCCTGATATTCAATTGACATCTTGACCATTGATCTTCTTTTTATAAAAATGTCAAGACCGAAAGCACAGTTGATACAACAATTTCATAACTATTCTTTAATTTTTAGAAATTATTAATAATTCTTCTTTGGAAGATTTTTTTCATTAACTCCTATGACTAACAATGTGAGTTATTGATGTAACATTTTATACTATTTTTTTATTGTTGTCATTATCATTACGAGAGTGACTCCTATCAGAGAGTGCGAGATGTTTTTACAAATCAATTTTAATCAGATACTTTTTTTTATCTAAATAATAATGAATATAATAATAATCTATCAGGATGAAGCGACTGTTATTTAAATGGTTTTGGTCGGGGAGACTACGAGGAAGAGGCGTTAGAAGGGCGTTACCTTTTACCAGCATTCCTTCTCCTTCGCTTTATAATATCATTAGCATACGCGGGTGTATTAATATATCTTCATCCTTAAAAAAAAAACTAAAGCTCCGAGAAAGACGTTATTATTAGTAATGAAAACTTTTTGTTATTATGGTCAATTATGAAACCTCTTTTAATATACCGTCATTATCATTATAATCATGTCAGCCGTCATCTGTCCACTGCTGAACATAGGCCTTTCCCATAGATTGACGTAAACGGTCCCAAGCTACCTGTATCCACTCTCTTTGCAATGTACTTGAGATCGTCACACAATCTAGTAAAGGGTAGTTCTACACTGTGTTTTTAACTTAACCTTTCTCCTCACTGGTACCTCGCCAACGTGTATCGGTAGCGCAGGCTGGATTATCATTCCATTGTCCCTATTAAGAACTATCCTTAGGTTCATTGCAGTGGCGTAACTATACCATTTGGGGCATGTGGCAAATTCTTTTGATGGGGCCCCATCATTTATTTTCAAGTAAAATAAAATACTCAGGTTCAAGGTAAAAAAAATTCTGAGCTCGCAGCCTCTTGAGCTGGGGCCCTTTTGGGTCGGGGGCCCGTGGCATTTTGCCAGCTCTGCCACCCTATTGTTACGCCACTGGTTCATTGATTAGGAGAGACGAAAAGTGGGAGAGAAAACGAAAACAGAACTGCGTTAACGGTTCAATGCTCTTAATTATGACAAACAACAATGTATTAAGCAAAGTCCACCTTGCCATAAAATAGGGAGTACTGACACCAACACATATGTATCTATGCAAGTGAATCATGCGGATGGCAGAAGAAATATGAAAGCAGAATAAATGCAGTAGAAATAAGAGACTTTTATATTAAAAACTATATGTAGAATTACCTTAAAAAAAACAGAGTGAGAAATAGTGTTATTAAAGTTAATTACAGAGGTAATTACAGTGATAATTACAGTTTATTGCGGTATATGTCAATATTACAGGAAAATAGAAATTTATAAACTTCCAAAAACAAAGTTATGCGGTCAGGTTTTAGAAACTGAGAAAACTCGATAGCCAAAATGTTGAACATATTGCGTAATATTAAATGAGTATAATGTTAAAATTAAAGTTTCGAGGAATGCCTAGTATTTACACAATCATGATTTTAGTTATTGGTAAGTTATTGAAGTTGGCTTCAAAAAGTAAGAGGTTCTCAACAGTGTTTTTTATATGATACGTGATATTTACGCCAATTTTGATTCCGTTTTATGATTTCGAATATTGATTTCGAATATAATTGAATTGTGAGTAGATATCTAAATTATATATTTGCGTTGTATAGGTACAAAGAATAGTAAAATAAAAATATAGTTCACCTGATAGAAAGCAGCCACCGTCCTTTATAAATAGTCACAAGCTATACGAGTAAACATTACATAGTAAACATGCATTTTATTTCACATAACTCTATTCGGATAGTATTGTAATAACTAAAGTTATAACAATTTATGTTATAACAAAAATAAGAAAATATTAAAATTATATTGATGTGCTGTGAGTATTTCTACAATGATATAATTATTATGAATTATTATTATTTACTATTAGTATGAAAACAATTAACAACCGTTACTAAAAATAACTGATAAACAAACATCCAATTAAATGTATCACTGATTATTTAATTTAATATATATATGTGCATATTTGGGATAACATTGGCTAAAATGAATCATTGGTAAATACATATACCTATCTATAAACAACTATAGGTTTTGTTATATTTACATCACTTACCTACTCGTATTGTCCTTTAGATATTTCTTTTCAAATCTCTCTTGCACTACATTTATCCATTCGTTGAATCTTACGCCATAACATTAAATTACCATTTACCAGAGGAAGACTTTGTACAAAAGTCGATTGCTTGGGCACCTCTGTCCCATTCGTGTTTTAACCGTGAAGCAGTTGTGTTTGCATGGCTGTGTTTCGGTTTGAAGGGTGGGATATGGCTTGAATTTACTGGGTACAGAGGAATAACACCTGAGTCCTCAGGAATGGCAACGCATGGGGGTTATCATGGGCGAAACAGTATAGGTACTCTGTTATGTCCATGGTACTGCTCATGTCTATAGGCGACGGTTACCAGTTTCCATAAGGTGGGCCGTCAGCTTGTTTGCCATTCTAAGTAGCATAAATAAAAATTTTTGGAAGAGATTTTTTTAGAGAAAAGCTGCAATTTACTCAAATTGTCTCTAATTATAATTATTACTATATTTTAAGATGTTATTATATACTGGGAGCAAAGCACAAATATTAATTAGAAGAATAATTACTTTTATATTATGGATCATAAATTAAACCATAATTGATCGAATCGTTTCAAAATCGATGGCAAATAGATCGATTATAAAACGATTACGAAAGCTGCCAGATATTTTATTTTATTAAATCTTAATTTTTTTTGTCGTACCTAAATTAGGCATCAGTTACATTGAGAATTAATCATTAAGACAAATCAACAAAAGCTGTGTTACAAAAGAAGATTCTCTATATACTTTCAAGTATATTCATAGGTATAATACATTTATTCGAGCTTTAAGCACGATAAATATAACCAAACTATTAGATATTATTTGCTAAGTTATGTTTGATATACTAGCACTCTTTGGCATGAAGAATGTCATCCTTAAGGTCATTTTTTGTCCCAATCAACCCATGTATCTGGGTAAAAACCAATAAATGTTATAAATTATTATTTTAACGAGATATAATTATTATTATATTACAAAACAATGCGTGAATGAGGAAAAATAATTGAATTTATTCTACGACAATACCGTACCTATAATATATACATAGATAGGTCTTGAGTCATAATAATAAATACCGCTTCATATAAATATGTAACTTATGGTCCAATTTGATCAGTAGTTGTGGTATCGACATTGAAAATGATACCCAGAAAGTTTTATTTTAATTTACTATTAATATTTGTGAATATTACTACAATATCATGTCAGAAAAAAACCAGTTTAGCATTTGTTATAGACGATACGTATTCTATGACCCAAGAAATAAAACAAGTACAGGAAGGAGCTCGGCAAATTTTGAACGTAATTCTTAGTAAACGGTCCAGCCAAATCGAGAATTTGATACATGTCTCGCTTAATGATCCAGGTAAAAACATTAACAGAACTTTACCTCTGATTTACTTACTATTTAATTACCTCACACTTAAACTGTTGCTTAGAATCTTCAACTGATTCATCTGTGAACTATCTGATACTTTGTTATTCAATCAATCCTCACGTCTGAAGAATTATTACCTCTCACAATGCTGATGTACGTACTTATTATATTTGTGTATTATATATAATATATATCTATCTATTTATATGTATTTACTTATATATATTTTTATTTATTTATTTATACCTATTGGTCTTTTCAATTGTAAAGACATTTTATTTATTTATTTTTGCTATAACATTTAAGTCGATTGGTACACGTGTATGACTGTAACTACTAATAAACTGTCACTTTTCTCATATTGGGTTTGCTGGAAGAAATCTCTATTGGAGATAAGCTCGCCTTTGTGCACTATTATGTTTGTTTTTACATTTTAATAACCTTTTGTGTACAATAAAGAATAAAAGAAAGAATAATATAATAATTTACAGACGTATTGGTTAAGACAGTGACCACCGATCGTTATCGCTTCGAGGCTTCACTTGATTCAATCAAAGTACATGGAAATAAAAATTTAGATTGGATCGAACCATCCATGAAAGCAACAAAGCTTGCTCTAGAAGAGTGTTTGCCGGGTTCAGACGTATACGTATTCACAGACTCGCCGGCGAAAGACTACGAATTATACGATGATATTGTTAGTCTTTGTCAAAAGAAACAGATCCAGGTAAGAAATTTGATAGCCTATACGAAATATCCCTCTCAAATTGTTATACATATATGCCCGATCATGTACTTTTTTTTTTAACGTCTGGAAAATGCTTTATGCAGACCCATACACCTTGTGGGAGGTGAATGAGTACTGTGGGAATTCCCCCGTAAGGTGGGGGTGTACCCACTAAAAACCAGACGATATACCCTCGAGGTGCCATATGTCGGAGACATGGGTTCGCTTTCGCACTCACCACATCTCCGACGGCAGCGATCCGCCCCCTGATAGTAAGAGCAGGTTTCCTCTCTCAAGATAGGGTGGATGGCGTGCTCACCCTACTACTCGGGGGATGCGCCGGTATATTAGCACATCCCCCAGGAGCCCGATCATGTACTGAATCAGTCTTATTCACTATATCAAGTCGGTTGATGTTGAACTCCCTAACACAAAATTTGCATAAAATCAAATTTGTCAGTGTATATGATCGATGTGATGTACTCATTAAAGTATAGACTGCAAGCCGCCAGCTCCAGCCACTCCTCTGGGTGACGTCCGGGCGGGTGGTCGTGTGAGTCGCAATGTGACATATTATTGTTTATTATTTCCTACACCTACCTACTATACCGGGAGGACAGCACATTGATCATATTATTATTAATTATAAGTCCCTTCTGTACAATCTCTTATTATTTAAAGACAAAAGATTTTGTAAAACTGATAAACGTGAATTAAATGTGAATATGCCTTAGTAAAACGTCATTACCAGTACATAAACCCTATTTTATAATTATTGGAATATATTATATTAATTATTCTGACTGTAAATGTCAATTTAAATATTGTAATATATGAGTATTTTAATAATCACATGGGTAGTGTATTTTTTTTTAATGGATGACAATTGGAGATGACAAGTGAGAATGAAAAGGAAGGTCAGTTAGCCCATCGTGATGGATACGCCTAGAATTCAGTACGATGGATTATATGTGGTCCAGGGGGGGCTACGTGGAGGTCGACCTGGCAGTGTATATTGCTAGCAATAGGACTGGTAATCCTCTTTACTAACAGCCCCCCCCTCAAACATGGGTTATCAATGTGATTTGTATTTATGATGTATTCAAGTAGATGATACTCACTATAAGGCCGGGTCGTGAGTTTCCCAAAATATAATTGAGTACAATCATTTTTAATAAATAAGGCTATTTGAATAAAAATTATTTATATTACTACGATTTCAAAATTTAGTAATATTTTTGTAGAAATTGGTAAATTTACAAGTGAAAAATAAAGAAGACAAATTACTTTAAATACGAGTAATTTTACCATTTTTTATAAACATTTAAAAATATTCCGTCGTTAATATACGACTTTATAACATCAATGAATCTTAACACTTTAACACCAACCGCGAAACGGTAGCACCACGCGAGTAGAAAAGCACTATTGAAGTGATTTACTAAACTCGCCAGGTAAAGCGAGAGGTCCCATAACTTTTAACTTTTAAGACGTGAAACCCTAAAATCGGAGATTTAAAGGATCTTATTCTATCTATTACAGGTGGTGTTTGTCTTAACTGAAGATTTTTCTAATTATTATTACAACAAAGGAGTACAAGTATTTTTCAAAATAGCCCAGGCATGTTCGGGGCAAGCGTTTGTAATAGAAAAGAATGAAGTTTCAAAGGTAAGTATACATAATAAAATATATTCACTCCTATAATCCACAGTACACCTACTTGTACGTGATGTTATACAGGGTGTAAGGGATAGGTTGAAACTGAAACAATGAATTCAGACCATTATTCTGGACTAAAACCCTGTGGGAATTCTTTCCGGAAAATTTGTTTGGAGGTATTTTATCTATATAATCTAAGAGGATGCTATGACAGTTATGGGTATGGAGATATAAAACCATTATCCTCATGAATGGCAACGCACGAATGATACAGTGTATTCGTTTGTAGTTCTGTTCTGTAGCGTATAGGTAGAGAGGGAGACTTTGTACAAAAGTCGATTGCTTGGGTACCTCTGTCCCATTCGTGTTTCTACAAGAAGAAGTTGTGTTTACATGGATGTGTTTCGGTTTGAAGGATGGGATATGGCGTGAATTTATGGGGTACAGAGGAATAACATCTAAGTCCTCAGGAGTGGCAACACATGGAGGTTATGTCCATGGTACTGCTTATGTCTATAGGCGACGGTTACCACTTTCCATCAGGTGGGCCGTTAGCTTGTCATTCTAAGTTGTATAAAAAAAAAGGTATCCATTAATAGTTTCATTTTCCGTTACAGATTCCCATATATATTTCTGAGACTGTTAAGGGTACGAAGAATACGATTACATCCAAACAAATAGAACCAAATAAATGGACGGACATTAAAGTAAGTTATATATAATAGATTTATCTATTTACAAAAAAGGAAAACTTTATTAACGCTTAATATTAAATATGTACGTTACACAATATATTCAATACCTAATTCTGAACAAGTTTTGATAGTTCTATTTATACTAGATAGAGTCTATGGATTTATTGCTTTCATATTAATTTTGTTCTAAATAAATCTACTCCTTAAGTACGAGTAAATTTAAAAGAAAATCTTTTTAATGGTTCTTTTTCATTTTCCCTGGTAAATCTCTTAATCTTAATAATTTCAATTTCACTATATGCTATTGTATTGAACTAGTTTATACCTGCGACTTTGTTTGAGTAAACTTCGATAAAAAGCAGTCTGACTATACAATTATATAATACAAAATTACTACCTTGTTCCTTGGACTTATTAAATTTAATTTGACACTGAGCGCCATTGCACCTCATACGCGTTCTACTAGAGACATCGTCATGGTTATAACAAAAGACAAAGGTTATCTATTATATATTACATAATCAAAGTGAAAAAGTACTTATTTGGATAAGCATATAATGCACATATAATTTATAATACCATAAATCTGTATTGTAAATGCAGTATTAAAATTAATGTTTTGCCATGTCACAATTTTAATTATATCGGCTTCCACATAAAAGGAAAATATATGCAATCGCTGACTTTTTTTAAACTTTCTAAGATGAACGATTCTAATATCTATTCTGATATTTTCGTATAACCCTAACGGTTTATGCAGCACACACTGAAATAACTCTTAAATTTTAAGATATTTGTCAGGATACGAGATAATTATAGTTATTTACAGATTTACCAGAGGGAGACTTTGTACAAAAGTCATTTGCTTGGGCAGCTCTGTTCCATTCGTGTTTCTACCGTGAAGCAGTTGTGTTTGCATGGCTGTGTGGGATATGGCAGTGAATTTATAGGGTACAGAGGAATAACACATGAGTCCTTAGGAATGGAAACGCATGGGGGGTATCATGATCGAAACAGTATACTTTGTTATGTCCATGGTACTGCTCATGTCTAGGCGACGGTTAACATTTTCTATCAGCTTGTTTGCCATTCTAAGTTGCATAAAAAATAATTATACTTCGGTCAATTTACACAATATCTTTGTTTATTATTATTTTTATAGTCTATGTACTAATTTGATGTATACATCAGAAAGTTATAATTTATAATATTGTAAAGTTTCATCGAAATCCGTCCAGTAGTTTTTGTGTGAAAGAGTAACAAACATATATCCATATGTCACTATAAACGTTCGCATTTATAATATTAATGGGTTAGGTCTTATTAAAAGAGCACATATAGTACATAATAGACATATCTGTCTACGTCCCTTTTACTATCAGTACTGTATATAAATAAATTTTGATTGTAGTTTACAATTGATGATAAAACTGAGTACGCTCTAGTGTCTACGTCTGGAAAAAAAGTGCATTTACAAGTAAATGGTCCAAACATCATATCAGAACATAATGTATGGACATTAAATGTTAAGGTAATGACATTATTACATTTTTATGCTATAATTATATTCATTAATTTACATAATACTTCAAGGTTGTAATTTTTTCATTAATTAATTTATTCTTGACATGGTATATTAGAAATGTTTGGTACAAAAGGCGGGCTATACGTGTATAATATTCTCTTCCACTCGTTGCAAAAACAGAAATTATGCGATGAAAAATATTGAAAATTGTTAATTAATAATCAATTATTTATTTTATAAGATTGTTACAATAATTTTGTCCAAAAATGTACGAATGACGAACTTAATTTTGTAACAGTTTTCTTCCAGCAAATCTAGAGTGAAAAGGAGCATGGATTATTAAATTTTCTTATTAATTTGTACAAAATAATTCTCTTTTTTGATATAGAATTTGTACTGATCAAATATTTTGTTATTAGTTATTTAGAACGTGATATTACTTTACAAATCACCTTCATTGTGATAACAGGTGTTAAAGTTGATAAACCCCAGCGCGGGTGAATACATTGCGCGTGTGTGGTCAAGTCAATATGCGTCTGTATATGTTTTCGGTCGAACTGACTTCACATTTATCCATGGATTTTCTGAATTAATACCAAAGTCACTAAAGGATACAATTGCACAGCCCATTACTGGTGAGTAACAGCTGATGGAATAATTCAGATAATACTAATAATTTTTTTAATGGGCGAAACAGTATACTCTGTTATGTTCATGGTACTGCTCATGTGTATAGGCGACGGTTACCACTTTCCATCAGGTGGGCCATCAGCTTGTTTGCTATTCTAAGTTGTATAAAAAAAAATACACTAATATACTATAATAAAATATACAATACACTCCTGTGAGTAATAATAGGTGAGGATGAAGCAGGTCAGTTAGCCCATCGTGACGAATTGAACAAAAATTAACCACGTTGGTTTCCAGGGGGAACCATATGGAGGTGGACCTGCTAAGGCATATTGCTAGCAATAGGGCTGTCAAATTACTTCCCCCCTCAGATAATATTAGTCGTCTAGTCTTTAATTTATTCTATCTAATTTTCTTATTATGATTTATTATCCAATGAATGATGATTGAGGATGAAGTTAGGTCAGTTGGCCTATTGTGACAAATCCACAATAATTTCCCGTACTAACAATCCCTTTTCGCAATTCAATTATTTAAGCGCATTTTTGTTTTCCATTCATACTTGATCAGGTACAATAAATGCATGTAAATTTTTTGTAGTATGTGAGCTTACAAAAGTTTTCATTCAAGTTTAAATTTAGGTAATGCGAAAGATCTTAGTTATACTGCACTTTAAAGAGATCACATCTTCGAATTTTAAGCTCAAGTTCAGCAACTACTAACATAAATATTAATTATTAAAGAATATCTAATCTAAGAATTTTAGATAATACTTCCATATATTTTTACACAATAAGTATTTTCTATTACAATAAGTTATTCTAGTTAGAGAACGAAGCAGATGACCTTTTGATTAACCAATAGTTTTCATGTATGCTGTGAACGGTTAGTTAACAACAACGCTGTACTGCAATTTAGGGATCTCACGATCAATTCTCATAATTAGAGTCATGTTTGGATCATTTGAAATTTGTTGATTAAAAATGATCATATACTTCGTATTTAATAAGATTAATAAGAGAAATTTAATAAGAGGACAAATAAACTTGTCATCTAGTAATCAAAACCTAAAAATTCTTTATACCATAATGAAACTTACTATTCATTTCATTTCATTTAAGAGTTTCCTCTTGTCGGTGTAACTAATTCATGCATCATCCTCCAGCCAGTTCTATCCCAGGCCATATCCTTGACCTGCCTATACAACCTGACACCTAGTTACTATTACGTAACTAATTTAAGTGAGAGTATTATTAGTATTATTGTGCATATATTATGTGAATATTAAAGTGTTTAAATAATTTTAAGGTACAAAAAGTCACTTAACTGTATCTGTTACTGATCCTAATCGTAACGTAATAATAAAAATACAGATACTAGATATGAATGAAAATATAATTAAAGAAATACCACTTAACAAAATCAGTAGAGATATGTACACAACCGATGCTTTGCTTTGGCCTACATCACGGTTTAAGGTTGCGGTAAGTACAATTTTGGAGTTACTGGGAATGAAAAAATTATGATCTTTCTAAATCCGAAGTTGCGTTACAAATGTAGTTTCGTACATAATGTGACGAAATAGTACCTATAACACTGTAAATTAATATCACGATTATGCAGTGTTCATGTGATTCCTCAGTATCAAATTTTTTTATGCACATTTCCCTTATTAAGGACTTGCTTTTCCTAACATGATTCTCCTTTTTTGTATCATTTTTGTATTTCTAAAGATCTGTTACTTTTAAATTCTTTTTTTTGACGTCAATTATTTTCTTTACCATCTTCATTCTTTCTTATTCATGTTTCTTTTATATTTAACTACAAAGTTCTTTAAAACTTACCCACACAAACTTTTTTACACTTCCAATTTTATTGTATGATATTAGTTTTATGAATTGTGCAAAGTACGAATTTAGAAATTTAAGGAGAAAGAAAAAATATCAAATTCATTTTTCAAAAAATATCAAAAACATGTAATAATTATTGCTACTTGCTTCGTGCTCCGGAATATACCAAAATCTATCTTGTGTTAGATCACGTTAGAGGCCTTCATATATAACGAAGGAAACCTAGATATATTCGATGTCAAAAAGTGACACCCTCATACGAAGTATTGTTAATATTTAAAACTGATTAATTTCAGATAATAGGTAGAAGCATTCAAACAGGCAAATCCATTAGAAGAATAGCGAACACACCCGTAGAACCACAGAAACCTAGTAAGTGCTTTTTTCAATTATGCTACAAAAGTCTTGAAATTAAATGATAAAAATAAAGGAAATACTTATTATTATTAATTATAAGTTTAATAAAGCCGGTATTGACAATTATTCAAATTATATAATAATCATTGCACATTACTACCCAACTAAAACACTTACACATATAGAAAGTATTATTCCTTCCTAAACATAACAGAAGATGTATAACATAAGAATATTTGTCAAAAACACTGCAATCATTTTGAAATTTTTTTTTTCAACGAATATGAAAGTATACATAAAAATAAACGTGTTAGGTGACTACTATATACTAGGTTGGGTATAAAGAAAATTATACACTAAACACAAAGTTAGCTTTAAAACAAACCAATATATTACACCTATTATTTATTTGACATAAAAAAATCTTTTATAGAGCTTCCAGATAATAAAGTTCCAGTAGCAACAATTAGTGAAGGTGCAAAAACAACTGTGGATTACAATGGTTCGTTAGTGTTAACGTGTAGAGTCAGTGCGTATCCAACACCGAACATTGTATGGAGGGATATTCGAGGGAACAAGCTAGTGTCACAGGTGGGATTAATAATTTTATTGCAATCCAACTACTCGTATGTTTTATTAATTTTCTATAATATTATCTACAAAGTATAATGTTTATAAAGTTAATAAAATTATATTCTTCCTAAGATCAGACGTATCGATATAAAAATGAAAACAAGATATACATTTGTGTGCGATTCACACAAATTACTCTTGTTAATAATAGAGTTAAGAAAATAAATATTTATCGTAGAACATTCATGCACTATCATAGAACATTCTGCTAGTATTAAAAGTTTAATTATAAATGAAAATTTATTTCAATAATTCACACACTTAGGCTACAAGTAATAATAACTTAATATATATATATATATATATAATAGAATTTTGGTCAGTATTATGGAAATGAAAATTCATTTGAAATAATATTTAACTTTTACATACAGAGCTCCGCTGTTGAATTACCCTATAATCATATTAGTTATCTGCGACTGTCAAATGTAAAGAATCCTGGGAAATATTATTGTTTAGCAACCAATAACCAAGGGAAAAGCACAACGGAAATCATTTATGTAAATGTTACTTCACCCTTCACAATCGAAGAGGAAGCCTTGGAAGGTTTGTTTGAACACATTTGTTTTTAATAAACTAGTCAAGCCAAAGTAGATAGTAAAAAAAACTAGGCAGTTAAAGATATGCCAATATATTAGATTAGATAGCACTAAAGTAAATTTAAAATACAATTTATTATTTTCGTATTTTTTTTTGCTGTAACGATCTTTGCTATTAATATATAAATATAATTTCTTTAATTTGAACAGTAGTAGTATTTACAATAAGCAGACAACTTAGGATAAATTGAAGCTCTAGATTTGACTTAGCTAGTTTTTAACATACACACCAGTTATATTTAGCAAATTAACTTATTTTATTTGCTTATTGTTTTCAATCGGCTTTTATATTATATGATCAACATATGTTATTTTTCTAAAAATTTAATTTGCTGATAAAAACTTGATATTTCATTTAAAGTTGAAACATCAGTTGCATAATGGTCTGAGATTTATAATTAGTAGGAAGATTGTAGAACTTTTACTAATAACGATAGTAGTTAATCCTTAATCAAAATTTTTATTATGTAAGGTGTTGAAGGCAATATCAGTATTTAATCTTGCCGAACGTCATTTTAGGCTCAAAAAGATTTGAATACGGAAAAGAAGGAATTCTGAAGTGCAAAGTGAGATCAAAGTTACCAATGAAAATTATATGGAAACATTATGACAAAATTACACAGAAATTTATCGAAGTGGTACCAAAAAATGGAGTATACTCTATTTCTGATGATGAAACTGAACTGAAAATAATATCAATAGACCTTTATCAAGATGGACGTTACACCTGTACTCCTGTGCTGAAAGATAACGGTTATAAGGGACCAACTATAACAAAAAATGTTATAATTACGAACCTTAGTAAGAATAATTATATTCATAAACCTACTAAATAGTTATTAATTTTTTTTTACATTTATGTATGAAAATGAAAAAAAGTCATTCAGTATTGTATAAGGTTATATATTATAAATTGCCATTATTGTAAACGATATTTCAATTTATAAGGTTTCATATACCGTATAATGTAAAAACAAAATAATTATACAGCTTTCATATTTCAGTTCGTCCTCTTCTTAACAACAAAGGTGGTAAAATAGTAGTGAAACGGAATGAGACAGTTGTGATTTCCTGCAAGTAAGTACATCACTTAAAAAATTTATATCTAACTATCAACATAAAATTAAGCCTTTGCTGTGAATAGAGAATAAGTAATTTGATGATAATGACGATGGTAAACTTCCTTGTTTTACGTACAATTTATTTTTTTACTTAAAATATATATACTTGTATAAATATATCGGTGTGAAGCAAACAATCCTATTATTTAATTTTGACAAATTTTTCAGAGTTCGCTTAGCAAACCCAAAACCGAAGATTGAATTAGTATACAGAAATATAAATTCGAATAGCTATAAATTTGTAAATTTATCATCGAGTGAAGAGTTAGTGATTAAAAGAGCTGATTTGATTCATGCTGGCCGATATAAGTGTACGGCTATAAACGTCGCGGGCCACGATGTTGCAGCAACCGAGTTGGTTGTTGAAGGTAAATTGAAATTAATAATACAAAAAATATTCCATGCAATCCATCTTTATCTTTATACAAAGAAAAATACTTTATGAAATTTTTGTTACTTGAATAATTTGAAAGATCATATTCCTATTAGCGATTTACACTGCAGTATTTCGTTTATGTGTACGTGTAATATAGCTAAGGGTTACCAACTTTGATATATTCGTTATAATTTCTATGATGTTGGCTATCAACAAAACAACTCATTATCGTCTCCATTATTGAGCACGGAATTCTTCTATGTTTTCTTCTTTGTTCTCATAGGATTTCTTCTTATAAAAGGATGGAGCATGATGATAATAAGTTACTATCCATAAGAGAAGAATCACACGCAGCTCATGTACCACGCTGAATGGTTTGTTTGTTTATACCAGGGGAAAAAAAGATTTATCTTTGTTGTCAAAATAGGCCAAAATTGCAGACTTTCATTTTTGGGAATAATTAAACCAACCCCCTACCAATCCCTCCATTCCGCGACCTTTTTGATCTCTCCTCGTAGCAATCTGCGGCGAGCGACACCAGCAGAGTTGAGCATATGCCCCGGACTGCTTTCCCACGTCCCCTCAGGGTGACTACATGTGGCGAAAATCTGTGACGCATCTCAATATGAACTGTATTCGAGCATTTTTTTCTTTTGCATTGATGTATATATATTTTTTATTGCACTTGTAAGTTACATATAAAATAATGTATTCATAAATGTTGTGAGCAAGGGTGGACTTATCTCTGACAGAGATCTCTTCCAGTCAACCCAATACAGTGAGAAAGCATTTCGTTAGCGGGCAGCTGAAGTGCTACAACTATTAATACATAAACAAATATACAGTTAAATAAAATATTAAAATATATAATAAAATATTACATAAATACATACACTATGAATACATATAATACCTACCTACTTATATAATAAATGTTAAAATAAATGAATATATTACTTACATTAGAAATTTAGTTTAATGATTTTAAGATTTGACAGTTCAATTAGAGATGATGTATTGTATTAGTACATTGTTTTCCTAACATTTAGATTCGTTTTCCTGTTTTAAGGTTTAGGAAGGTTTTAAAAAGGGTGGTAACTGACATAATTAACAAACATTAATATGGAAACGTTAATTTTTGTTTTCAAATTTCAGCTACACCGAAAATTATCAATACAAAAACGATGATGCAAGCCGTTGAAGATGATCTCGTTTTAAAAATACCATGCACGGTCGAGGGATACCCGAAACATGTGGTCACATGGAAAGTAAACGGTTTACAGATAGCAACAGGTACAAGAATTTAATTTTTTTATCTTTATAATAAACAATACATATAATAAAATCGTAACTGATCGCTATCTGTACATGAAAGATATATAAGAAAAACTATTATAGAGGGGCGCTGTGAACGCAATAGAACCCAAAACAATGAGTTTTAGAATTTAAGTCTGTTTGCCTGTACATTTATGCACGCTAATCTCAGAAACGGCTTAACCGATTTGAACACGGTTTTCACAAGTGCGTTGCGCTTTTATCCACTTAATATTTAGTGTATATTTTATTTCAATCAGTTCATAAATAAAAAAGTTATATCTATATAAAGAATCACATATAAAATGCTATAAAATAACCGATCAGTTGAATTGGCTGAAACTTTATAAAGGTATTAGGTATGTTATTGTCACTTAAGAATATAATACAATATGAGACAGGATTCATGAAGGGCTCCAATGGGACTGATATACCGGAACTACATAGTTAGAAGCGGGCAATGATGCAGAAAACAGCTAGTTATATATAAAATTAGATCATTATTAAAATCCGATTCAAAATATAAAGCACAAAACGATTGTAATATTTCAGATGGAAAATTCGTTGTCAGTGATGATTATCTTATTATTAATAAGCCTAATGTCAATGACACCAACTACTATACCTGCACGGCGACTAACAAGGAAGGCACAGATCAGAAAGAGTTTAATGTTGAAGTAACTCGTAAGTTATGCAGTTGATAATTAATTACAGCTATTATAAGATAAAGGAATCCTTGATAATACTTCTTATACAACTTTTATGGCTAAACAAGTTTAGCTTTATTAAAATTTTCTCTTTAGAAACTTTACACAAACCTAAAAAATACAAGTGGCCGAATATTCTCCCTTTTTGTAATTTAAGATTGTGTTTCACAAGAAAAAAAACGACTTCAATTGTGACAAAATCAGTTATTTTTATTTAAAAACTAAAAGGTGATTAGTAATCGATACTGATGTCAAAAATGCTATCAGTAAAATTTTTGTCTGTCTGTCTGTATGTATGTTGGTTATAGAAACAAAAACTACTCGACGGATTTTAACGAAACTTGGTACAATTATTCTTTATACTCTTGGGCAGGTTATAGTATACTTTTCGTCACGCTACGATCAATAGGAGCAGAGCAGTGAAGGGAAATGTTGGGAAAACGGGAGAAGTTATTCCATTTTTACGCTTCCGTCGCGTGTGCAGCCTTAATGGCCACTTTATACAATGTAAAAATGTCCACCCGTGCGAAGCCGGGACAGGGCACTAGTATCAATATAAAAGTGACTTTGTTACGTTTGGCACTTCAATTACTTGACCAATCGTTATGAAAGATATACACATAGTATTTTTGGTGGATTATATAGACTACTTTTTACTTCTGGCACAGATAATATAATACTTCTGATAAACAACTTTATACCAGTAACGCAGATTAAGTAGCAAGAGATAGATAGCTCGAATTCTTAGCATCAGACTGAATCAGAACCTTATGAATTTTGTCGTCATTGTGTCAATTTTAAACACAAAATTTTAACATACCTATGTAATTTTCAGTAATATATATTTTTTTATTTACCATAGATTACATTATATAAATATAAATTACTCGTTAAAGTCACAAAATCATCAAAAATATAAATTAAAAATTGTTTCTCATTTTACAAACAATTTATTGTTGCAGCCGATCTAAATTCCGATGACACATATGGCAAATGGCATAATGTATTTTTATTAGAAAATAAACCAATGAATTTGAGTTGCTCGCTACCAATATCTCATACAGACACTGTCAGGTGGTTTCTGGTAAGATCTTTTTTTACGTTACTTAGAAAAACAAAGAAGTTGATGACTCCTTTGTTGAAAAATGGTAACATTCAAGAATAGATATGAACAATACAGTGGACATTATATAATACACTATGATGCCCACGTGTTGTGTAAGTGCCCCATCTCATACGTTTTTTTTGATAGGTGAAAAAGGTATGGTGACCCCGTCTGCGCTAACGGGATACGCTGGCGGAGCACCAGTGTAGGGTGATAGGTGAGAATGAAAACAGGCCAGTTAGCCCATCATGATGAATTCATCAGGAATTAACCATGATAGTTTCCAGGAGGAACCGCTAGGAGGTCGACCTGGTTGGGTATATTGCTAGCAATGGGATTCTCAGTTTCCATTACTAACAATCCCTTTCCCCCCCTCCCCATCTCATGCGTTGCCATTATTATACTGTTACGTTTCCATACCCCTTAATTTCACTGTCAGTTTGATATTAAATTAGCCATGTAGGTCCCAGCATAAAATAGTCCACTCCTTCCTTTCCCGTGGGTGTCGTAAGAGGCGAATAAGGTAGCTTATGGTCGAGGGATAGGCAGCAGCGTCACTCTTAAAACATCACCAGAATGAAATTGTGGTTGCCAAGCGTGGCAAGTATTGGCAAAACACCCATTATGGAGAGGCTATGGTATGCCAGTGAAATAATTTTTTAAAAAAAATATAGAGAACATCGAATTTTCAAAAATCAAAATAAAAACTATACCAATTTGAAAAAAAATAATGACATAATACGAATATATCGCTGACTAAGCTCTTTCAATAAAAAAGGGAATAATCAACATTTATAAAAATTGTCAGAGATATTAAATAACAGCTCCATTTTTTGGTACCTACAGTTAAAACACCTGTTTACTTCCAGGATGGTTCTCCAACGAATTTTACTGGAAAGTATTTATATTTAAATAATACTACTGTTTTTAATGATGGTAATTATACATGCCGAGTGAGTAACAAGCGGGGTTCCGTATCGCAGACATACATAGTGGATTTCGGATATCCACCCACTTTTGAACAAGATGAAGCCGCTTCCCCTGTGTTTATTAACTGGAATGGTGATGACATAATGATTTACTGTGATGTAAATGCTAAACCTAATGTTACGGTAAGTTTACTTATTTGTTAACTTAATAAGCAGCAGTATTTTGCAGTTGTAAAATATTACTGCTTCATGGTTGAAGTAGGTTGGAAAGAAAGATGGGCACTATGATACACGTTTGTTGCCATTTCTAACAACTGAAGTTTTGAGTCTCCGTACCCTGTAATTTCAGTTCTATAGTCCATCCTTCAAAATAAAATAAAACCATACCAACATAGCTGCTTTACGGCAAAAAAATACAAAACAGAGATATACAAGAAAGCGACTTTATCAGATGTCATTTGGTCGAACAGCATGATAGGTTGAAAAATTATTTTTACATTAATTTTTTTTTATTTATTAATCCCTTTCATTTATTTATTTATTTATTTAGGTTTACCAATAATTGTTTCCACAAAATAATGTAAATATATATGTACAATTATGGAGCTTAGAACTAAGTGTAACAATTTTTTATAGGCAAACACAGCATATATTGATACATGTATAACAATAAGTACTGAGAAATATATATAGCTTACATCTATTATTAAATACTTAACAACTAACAACTAAAGCCACCATATCCAGAAGCAGATCCAGCAGCACGACTCATTTTATATATTTATAGATATTTCGTACAAAAACAATTGGAGTATCAAAATTAATATCGACCTGGTCACTGCAGCTATTTATAATCTTACAGAACCTTTCATTACACATTTAATACATTTTAGGTAGAATGGATATATAATGGGAAGATAATACCAGGATCTATGTCTCTAGAGCAGCCCGTGTTAGGCTGGGGAGACTATAAATGTCGTGTGAGTAACGTGCACGGCAGTGTAGAAAAGAACATCAAAGTAACGTCTCAAGGTTTGTTGAAAACGTTCACTGCTAAAATAATTTATATTTCTTTCTATTTATTTTAATGAATGTTTATAGCATAATTGATTATGATATTCATTTAATGGCTAATTTTTTATAAAGATATTAAATGGTAAACAAACTGACAATGGACCTGATGAAAAATTATAATAATCACGTATAAACATGAACAGTTCCATAAAAGATTATACTGTCACATGCACGCATTGCCATTTTAGAGGAATAAGGTATTACGCATCAGTACTCTGCAATTATGCTACCAATCTTAAAATCAAAATACAGAAATGTTACTAAACGTCCCGACACACGAGACAGAGGTACCTTTGTAAATGACCTTTGTCACAATAAATATTGTATCTAATTAAATACATATTTTTCAGATTGTTTGATTAATAGAAATAATAAAAAGGGACCAGTAATTATTACCGATACGTCGACGTTATCTAATTTTGGTGAATTAAAGAATTATTTGCAAGTAAGCAGCGGACAAAAACTGCTATTATCTTGTAATAATAATACCAAGAGAAACAATAACTTTGAAAATTTTATAAACCAGAGCGTAGTTACAGTTGTATGTGATCATAAAGACATTTTTCTAATAGATGACAGATATTATACCACTTCAAATTTGCAATGTCATAATCCGGTTCTTCCCACTATACAGAAAAATGGTGAAAAATGCTATAATAAAAATAGTGAATTAATTCACGTTGGATTTGAAGTGAATGGTTTCATTGATGTATTTAATGTTTGCTTCGATACAATAAACAATATACCTCTATATACAAGAGTAGCAATAACCGAAGGAAATGTTAATGATAACGCACAAATAAATTGGTTTAATAATATTGAGCTACAAAATAGTCCGTTTGATTCCACGTATAACTGCGTGGGTAATAAGACATGTTGCTATGCTAAAAGACAGTTAGTTAACAGAAACGACGTTGTACAAGGACCGGCCCAAGTAGCTACCTTCATGACGCAAGTGAATGCAGTCCCAGTTTGGGTTCCTTGTAATAAAAAGGTATTAGTTATTCATCATTTTATAAATTATTAATATTATATTCTATCAATTATTATGAAATTAAATTAATAATATAAAAGAACTTTCAAACGATAATACTAGAGAGGGCTTACATTTTGTTATAATTCGTTGAAATTTTTGAATTTATTTTTAAGTAATATATATGGGTAAATAATATTAAACGATTTTAAAATAAAGTAACTAATGAATGTAATCGACTTTTAGGATGCATGGTCCATAATTGAAAATGTTGTCAGAAATTATGGTGCATATGATCCTGTCACAATCTGGTCAGGAGCAAGCAAAGTGGAGAATTATAATGGAAAACTCGTACCGAGATATCTCTGGAAGGTAAGACAAATGGGAAAATCATAATAATTGGCTAAATGGCCCATTACTATAAACCTTTTCTGTATAGTTTAGAAAATTGTATTAAATTTAAAAATTATTAAAAGAAGATTTAGAGAAGAAAATGTTCTTCTCTATATATTAAATCTATAACTGATCAATATTTGTATATAGAAAATATTTAGGAAATCCTAATATTCCTGAGTTCTATGCGGTCCAGATTAGTAAACGAAATTAAAGTCTCTGGTGGTAGAAGCAAAAACAACAATAAGTAGATTTTTAGACTACATTTTAATTTATTCATACATTAAAATAAATGCTTTATATAATTACACTAAAATGAATGCTTTATATTATACGTGATATTATTAAATATGTAGCTTAATAACTGTTGCAGATTTCATTGTGATATACCATATGTTAATATAGTATCGGCATGATACACTGTCAGGAAGTCTGTTTCAGGTTATGCTTTCGAGCGTTACAGATGTCATGTTTAATTTAACAATAGTTATACCCGTTTATAAGCAGCGAACATCAGCGCTGAAAAGTCCTACACCCCCTAAATAATTTGTCATCCAATTCCAAATAGTCAAAGTCGTGAGCAAAAACTAGTAGATAATGAAAACCTTTATTTGAATACAGGTGGTGAAATTCGAAGACGACGACGTCAAAGTAATTGTTCATGTGAATCACCCCTCGCCAGTTGTATCTGATATTCTCTGTGAGAATACCTGCAGAGAGCTCAACTGGATGCAGCAGATTTCCAACCAGTTTACTTACTGTTGCAGTATAAACAATTTCATAGAGAAATTTGAGATAAACTCTAATATATTTTTACTCAATGTATAACAATTTCTTAATAAACGTGAATTAATACGATAATTTGGGTATACCATGATAATTTACTGGAGTTATCTTAATGTTTTGATCAAGTTTAGTGCTTGAGGTTACATGTAGACTGATGTAGCGCTGTGTTGCCTCCGCTTACCAGACAGAAGCTTTTTCTTCATTAGACTCATTGTCGCACATCACACAAATTGTTTCTCTATATCGAGAGTTTTTGCATTCAACATTTTATTTTTATTCGACATATTTGCCGACTGTATACTATAACGAAGTAATGTAAATTAATCGCGAAAATTCTTGTCTCTTCTAAACCATAAACCATGCAATGCGAAAAAGTAGTGTAATTAAAGTTGTACGTTTCTTCTTATTAATGCATCGAATTTATATTTTATGTACCTACTGTAAGAAAAAATAATTTTTGAATTTTCAGTTTATATTTTTTACGTCATATGATGTTTGCTTTTACAATATTGTATATTTTGAACTACGGTAATATGTATTTTGATAAAGATATTAATTAAATTATTTTATTAATCACTCTATTTATTTTGTATTCTAAAACAAGATAAACTCACAAGATTTATGATACAGTTTATTAAAAATATTTTAAAATCTAATAAGTTAATTAATACACTCTTAGATATGTTTTAATACGGTCTGTACCCACATTATTATATGCTATACATACGTAATATCCTTCGTTATTTTTATTTACATTGTAAAGTACAAGAGTGTTTGTGGCATTGCCTCTGTAACAAGCAAAAAAAATTATAGTTCCTCAAATTATACCTAAAATAACTTCCCTTATATTCTACCTACCTGTCAAGTACACCTGTTGATAAATTGTGCTAGTCATGCCTAATCGTAAACAAGATTGCTAGTAATGTGATCTAAAAATCCCACCTCTGTTGAATTCCTTACGATAGGTCAGCTGACCTGTTTTCATCCTCGTCTATCATCACTCACTGGTGCTCTGTTAGCATATAACAATACGTAGGCGGGGTTAACTTTTTATCTAAAGAATCATCAATAATAAGCGTTGTCCAGCAAATTTTCTCTATATTGTGCTATATAGTAAGATACAATATCAAATCTGGCATTTTGGATAATAGTTTGAACTGTCATATTCATATCACAAAGATGAGGTATATCTAGTTTTTCGTCTTATAGAAATTATGTAATTATATTTATTATTAAAAATTATTCATTATCATCATCATCTCAGCTATTATCTGTCCACTGCTGAACATAGGCCCTAATATAATACTTATTTATTATTTCTTTAATTCTTTTATTAATATTATCGTCACCAGATCACGACAATTTATTGGTTATATTATTTTCTATTAGAGATAAAGGATTTTTTTTTTATTTAATAGACATATGCGAAATAAATAAAACTTCAAAAAATCACCTTTGCAATACAGTGTTTGTGGAATCTGGTGCTAAAAATTCCCAACGTGTCATAGGAGCAGGATTACCAGTCTGCACATTGCAAACTAGCATAGCAGTTTCTCCAGTGCGTACATCCATAATTGGTGCCTCAGGTCGGATATACGGTGGCACTACAAAACAATATTACGGTAATAATAATAAATGGCATTCCATTTATTATTAGTGCATCATTGGAATTACTTTGAACAAACAATAAAACAGATATATATATAAATAATGTTAGTTTTATATTTATATTAGTTTATTGGAATTTCCAAAGACTATTTCTTGATGAATATGTCTTGTGAAATTTATTTCAAAGTGCTCAGTTTTGAAATTTGATGAATATTTAGAGAGTTATTTTTCTTTATATAATTTTCACATCGCTAAAATAACAAGTACATTATCGCATTTATAAATCACGTAAATGTTAATGGTAATTTGTTTATATGAAAGGGCAACAAACGAGCATGCCGTACACTTGATGGTAAGTAATTACCATAGCGCATGGGCAGCATATGACACCAAAGGAGTCTCCAATGCGTTGCTGGCCTTTTAAAAGGATATAAATTTGTTAATTGTCATTAATTACGAAATATAAGACACCAAATGAATTAATTATACCGACTTTTTCTTTAATAAATATAATACTTACCCAATACGTTGACTCGTACTGTTTTTTGTGCTCTTCCAAGTTTGTTTTCTGCTATGCAATAGTAGTTACCAGAATCTTCCATTAAGGCTACGAATCTATACAAACAATACGAAAGCAACTGGTGTCATATCATGTAACAAAATCCTTTCATAAGGATTTTACTAAAAATATTGTCGAATTTAATTATTGAATTATTAATAGTTACAAATAATCAATATAACATACTTCTAGATAAAAAGAACTATCTTATTTACCTAAGTGTATGATAATCATCGGTCGTATGTCTAGGATTTGACGGTACAATCACATCATCTTGCGACGTCTCCCACCGTACTTCTGCTGCAGGTATAGCGTCTACTTCGCATTGTAGTTCCACTAGTTTAGTTTCTCTAACAGTCAAAGTATCTTCACCGGTACTCTTTATTACTGGCGCATCTATCAGAAAGAAAAAAAAGATATATCATAATAATAAATTTCTAGTACATATAAATTTTTTCAATAATTATGTAATATATTCATTACATACATTGTAGTTTAACTGATAACTCTTTTGAATCTGTTCCTAATATGTTTTTAGCTTCACATTTATAAGTTCCTTCATTTTTTTTATTGACGTGAGAAAATCTTAATTTTCTTCCAACAACATCTACTCCATCAGGAATTGTATTAAATTCAAAGTCGTCATCAGATTTATATGTCCACGATACTGCAGGTTCCGGTTTTCCCTCTAGTATCCTAAAATAACAATTAAATAAAATATTATACACATACCAATTTCACTATTTTCATATTAGTGCTAAGTTCTTTGACTGTTAAATTACCTATTAAACATAATACATTAAAAAATTCTCTTTATATATTTTATGTTACTCACTAATACAGTTTTTTATCGGTGAAAGAATTTTTAAAATCGATTGATTAGTTTTTTTTTATTAAATATAAACAAACAATTACATATTTTTTATTTATTATACTACCATAGATTATCTACAGCCTCGATCTTTCTATTTTTATATATATATATAAATGTTTATTTCGTTATTCAAAAATAATCATACGTATTGGCTCTGTTGTCTTATAGAACTAAAATATAAGTTTTCGAAATTATGTGCAATTATTACTAACCAACATTCGATGTCAATTATGTCTGTTGGTTGAAGAATTATTTCTGAATTATTGAATGCTACTTGCGGAAATTCTGTAAAAGAGAATAATATAAAGTATAAATGTTATTCAAGCAATTTTTGCAACAATCACATCAATAGGATCGTTCATACACTTGGAGATAAAATGAGAACAATTCGAAATTTAAATTGTTACCGAGTATAATATAATTTATGTAATAGTTTTGTAAGACTTCTGAACATATAATATTTAATTATAACAAGTAAATAAATTGGTTAAATTAATTACCTAAGCCAGAAATTTGGACTGTAGCTGTAAAACATTTAGTTTCCACTGTATTAGATACTAGGCATTTATATTCGCCGACATTGTCGAAACTCATGTTTTTTATTAGTAAAGCATTATCTTCTAGTACAATTTGTAGATTATCAAAATTATTAGAATCAATTACAGTGTCATTATGATACCAAGTTATAATAGCTTCAGGATACGCTGATATTTCGCAATACAATTTTCCTTCTGTGCCATACTCGAATGTTTCATCTGAAATTAAGCTACATTTTAGGTGTGATAATTATATTTAGAAATATGTGGCTATACGACTGTAACTGCTGATGGCGTATTCGGGGGAAATAGTCGACTATGGCTTTTGACAGAAATTTAATATAATATTTTGCATTGATGACCCTATATCAAATTTTCGACTCGGACATTACAGTGCAATGTGATAACAGTAAATCTACGAATATTTCTGTTGTTAGTTTTAAAAACAATATTATTTATCTTGTTAATTTTGATGTCTTCGTACTATCACTGGATAATTGTTTATAATTAAACTAACTATAAATTATATATATAATTTAACTAACGAACTATATATATTTGACCAGATTTGGTCAGGGTAAAAAATTTCTATACTCATATAATCTCATTTATGAATTGTTATGCAATAAATATTAAAACTTGCCAATACTAGCCGTGGCATAGAATTTCTTATAGATGTCGTAAGCAGCGTCCCTTTTTAAAGATCATCAAGGCTTAATAGCAGCTGCCAACACCTGCTAAGGGTGGCAACTACTGGCAAACCACCCCTTCCCCCAATAGTGGGAGGTCCGTGGATGATATTAAAACATGTAGTTATATGGAATACTATTATGATCTCTCCTTTTATAAGGAGGGATCATAGCAGTAAGACACTAATAAATTGCTGTGTTAGTATGTGAAATTAATGTCAAATAACACACAGACGAAGTTGTTAAACAATAAGTACTTACTGTCAGGGGTTCGTAATACTTCTAAAGTGGCAGATCTGTTTACAAATAATTCAATAGCTTGGGATTCTTCGCCTTCCGAGTTTCTGGATTTACAGTATATTGTAGTATTGGCCATAATATTATATACAGTGACATAACTCATATAAACATATGGTATTTCCAATAATATGGTCTGGAATATAACAAAATAGTAGATAGAAAGAAATATTATTAAAATCATATTTCAATAAGTTCTTATTAATTGTTTCGGTTAGAACCATAAAATATATTTTTATTGTCGTCATAACATACGAGTATGACATGTTTGGTAAAAAGTACAGAGAATTTTCCTTGAGAAATATTAAAATTATAGTTAGGAAATCTTTTATTAATTATTTTTTAGCAAAATTGCTTTATTTCAATCAGCAGTGGAAGACAGAATATTCAAAAACATAACAATAAGTAATATATTATTCCTGTATACCTCTGATTTTAATCTTTCTCCATCATTATTTTCCCACCATATGTCTGGTTTGGGATAGCCTTTAATTTTAGCAGGTATAGTTACATTTGCATCAAAATCTAATAGAATTTTTGAATCTATCATTTCAATTGATGGTTTCTTCGAGGTTGCCACGGCATCTGTAAATAGGTAATTAATATGTATGTACCATGTGGTCCCGGCATAGAATAGGCCACCCTTTCTTTTCCCGTGGGTGTCGTAAGATGCGACTAAGGGTGAGTAAGTAACGATCAGCAGCATCCCTCTTAAAAAAAATAACATCTAAACACGTTTAACTGCGGTGGCCAATCCAGGTGTATTAGCAGGTACCAAGCGTGGCAACTACTGGCAGAACCCCCTAAGGGGGAGGCTTATGTTCAGCAATGAACAGTTAAAGGGTGATATGTTGATAATAACGTGTGCATGTATTTAAAATTATATAAAATACTATCTAAACAAATCTAAATAATTAAATATTTTCATTGTATAGTTTATTGGATGGCAGCTTTATTCACTTTTTTTTATTTTTGATGGACTAAGTTTTTGAAGGATTAAAAAGTCCTTCAAGGCAAAAACAATTTACAATCATCAAATTTTGAATCATCTTTAAAATTCACACATAGATTCGAATCCCCAATGAATTGGGCTTGCGTTTGAACTTAGAATTGCTGGATTGTCGTCAAAGATCCCATCGACTGAGCTTTCATGGGATACTTCGTGGTCATTGTATTTGTCATCTACTTTCGTATTATGACTACTTACCTAATTTTTGAGGTTGTAAAATACCAGTCGAGCCTGTGATTCTCGAACTTGAACCCGACAGTACGTGGATCTAAATAAAAAAGAAGGTATCTTTAATAAAAAAATATTTGAATTACCTTTTGGCCTTTCTTTGGCGCTTCGTCTGTTCTTAATAGTAAGATCTCGGGTCCGTCACAGCTACATGGTTTTATTAAAGCTAAGATATTTTATTAACATACAATAAATATACGATGATAAAAAAGAATAAACTGCAGGTCTACTCTTGAATCCAATATCAATATTAATCCAATATATTGCCAATGACAATTAGGGATTAGATGAGAAGTAGATGGGTTTTTATTGACAATTTACACTAATATCCATCTATTAGAACAATATGGAACCATTATGTCGCTAATACTGCAATTTGAGAATGCAAAACGTCTCAATTTCAATATCAATCTATTGTAATTTATTACAAGAGTAACCCCACAAGTATTGAATTGGTTAAATTTAGAGTAAGTCCATTAAAAATAACAAGGTATAAATAATTTAAGATAGATAAGATAAAAAAAAATAGATTTCTATTTTGGCGAAACCAGGTATTTTGACCCAATTCAGATAGAAAATATCCATGAGACTAATTTGAAAGTGAATAAATATTTTAGATAAAATTTTTTCAAATCGGTTTATTTAATGATAGAATTATGAAAAAAGAAATTAAAAAAAAATACAACTGAATTAAGAACCTCGTTTTTTGAAGACATTGTATAAATTATTTTAGTTTTTTTTTATATTAATGGCCTAGAATATAATATTTAAGTATTTATTTAAAAGAAAATACTTACGGTAATTCTAAATGTCCTTTTAGAATTCATATAAATGTTGGTAAAATAGAATCCAGGATTGTGGATGAACTGTTTTACACTTAAAGACTTTATCTCGCTATTATCAAAAAATATCAACTCAACTTTGATTGATATGACACGTATATTAGCCGGTATTGATATAATAATATAACTTGTAGTGTCTGAAAAGTATAAATATTTAGTAAAAAAAACAAGAGACGGTGGCAAAAATGTTTCGTTTCGTATTTGGTTTAAAGAATATTTCAGACAATCAAACTTGGAAATGCAAGAGTTATGGAGACCTTTGAATTAAGTACCGGCTAGGAAGGTATTTTTGACTGGCTGTTTTATTCTTTGAAACAAAATATAATGATTGAAATCATAAATTTTATAGATAAAGTGCCACCATACAAATGCTTCGCCAAGAATTAAAGATTATGTCTCATAAAATACCGTCTTTAGTTGTGACAAAATCAGTTATTTTTATTTAAAAACTAATCTACTGAACCAACTTTGATAAAATTTATATGAAATCAATCCGTAAGTTCTTTTAGATAAAAAATATTTATCCAAACCGGTTTATAACTGATGAAGTTATGAAGAAACATACAAAATACAACTGATTGATGATATCATACGAGATATTTTAGAATAATTCATGTGTTGGGGGTTTTAATAAGATAAAATTCTGCATACTACACAAAATTTGATTAAACTTTCACAGTTGTATTTCTGAAAGTCTAACTTAAAAACTGGTGTATGTTTATCCTAAGGTTATATAGATAGAGTATCTCCATACATATTTTGCGAGAAAAGCAGGTCAATTTTTTCATACAATTTTTCGTGATGAATAGTTATGACTGATTCCTTTATAGTAACTATGTTTATTCTGTTTTATAATTTTCGCATTTTCAATGCGTAAAAACTCATTTTATTTATTAAATATTTAAATATAGATACGTCAAGATCAATTGTGTGCGTAAGCATATAGAACAAAAAAAAACGGGTCAGTTAATTTGACAGTTGCCAAAAAGTTGATCCGTTTTTGAGACTCGATGCTCTATCTATATAATCTAAGGATTTATCCTAATATGTCAACCTTTTTTGAAGTCGGTTAAATACACTAATAAGCGACGTGATGTATTACAGATACTTTACAACGACTTATTTCGTAGTTACCCACATTGTAACAGAAAAAATCTCGTGTACCTTTCCGCTTTGAAAGTTGCTAAAAATAAAAGAGCAGAAATTACCCGGTAATGGTTTGTCTGTAGTTTCTCTAATATCTTTAGCAAGCCGTGTTGAGAATCCATATTGAAAGGGCAACTTGTTTCTTTTGTACAGTTTAGCAGAGCATGGTCGGCAATTAATCACAGCAGTGTACAGCCCTACCTTTGCTTTAACTCGTATCACCTGAGAAATTAAAACAAAATATAATCTATTACTACTCGTGTAATTATGTCGCCCTCTCGTCTAAAATGTTTCTAGTTCGCGTTCTTTGTATACGAAAGATTCTGGCATGCCTTATCAGACTATGGCTTAACACTCCCTCGAAAGCCCGGAACTAGTGATAGTCATTTTAAATGGTCTTATGAATTTGAAAAAGTAAAAAATAGAACAAGCAGAAAATTTAAGAAAGATTTTTCAATGTTAAAATTTTAGTAAATCACATCAACCTGCAAAAGCTCAATATGATCAGAACAGGTACTTATACATACATAAAAAGACACAAATTAATTAATACCCCCTTTCCCTCCTCCTTGTTTATAGAATTCAGAATTTTTTATACCACAAAGGTAGCAAATAACGGTCACTATAGCCTATAGACGCCTGCAACACTAGAGATGTCGCGTGCGTGTTACCGACCCTGAAGAAATCTTAATATGCCTTTTTTGAAAGACTCCATATTGTAGTTTCTAGGGAAAATCTCGCCAGGAAGCTCATTCCACAGCCTGAGTGTTCGTGGGTGAAAATTCCTTTGATACCGCATTGTTCAAGAACATTTAGGTTCGAGCGTGTGAGGACGAATTGGATGAAATATAGAGTAATGATGTAAATAGGAATAAAATAATGTACCATGTCATAGTCGGAATGTACTATTACTTCATACTCGACGGTCTCTTCAGAACGATATCCTTTAATTGTAATGGATGGATGCTCTCCTGTTATCGTTATCATCACATCTGTTGTATAATTTTCCACTGAAAACTGTAAGTTAAAAATAAATATAACTATACTATTATAATTTTGTATTATATTTATAAATACCTACTCATACACAAGTTATGCACGCACACACGCAAACATTAACTGACATATATTGTATTTAAGAGCCAATTCCCGTTGATGTTGACCATGATAATGGCATTTTTGGTAATCATTTAATGCAATTTATTGAGGTTATTATTAGTATAGATAAATAATTAAGTCCACTAATTGTATGATTGTTACCTTAGTATATATTAAAACTTATCTGTGAGAGCTGTATACGCCTCTAATTGATATGTTCATCTACCGTTAAGTTTACCTATAGCACTGTTGATATATCTCTTATAAATAAATAAATTTAATTACAGCCACTACTCTGTTGCATCTCGCGGTTTTGCACGTGTTGTTATGATGTTGTGTTAAGTATATGGTCTATCTATAAAATTTTATTCAAATCCGTTCAGCTGTCTATGCAGCATCATCATTATCGTCATCATTATTATATCAGTCGTTAACTGTCCACTGGGTTTTGCTAGTAGTTGCCACGTTTGGCAAGAGGGTTGGCAACCGCAGTTAGGTTTTAATGGTGTTTTAAGAGGAACGCTGCCACCCATCCCTCGACCATTATGTTCCCTTACTCACCTCTAACAACAGTTGCAGACTCTAGTTGCATTGTGTTCATTATTTGTGCACATAAATTTAGTAAGTTTAACAAATTGCATTGAAAATGAATTTACTTTTCGTCGCAGTTGTGGATAAAAGTTACTACTTACCTCTATTATATTACTATGTTGATGACAGTAACTTACCAGTTGAGGATCTGTAATGTTAGATGGCGTGAGAGTAAGGATATTGTTCCACTCCACTGGTACAATTTCTTTCATATATCTGAATGACTGAAATAAGTCTAAATATTATTTTTCACAATAAAAACAACTTTGAATGTTACATTTTGTTTGTATATATAAAACACACACACACACAAACACGCGAGCGCGCGCGCGCGCACGCACGTACGCACACGCACACACACAAACACATATAATTAATGATCATCGGGACAGCCGTTAAATGCACACTGTTAAACGTAGGCCTCCTCAGGGGGTTTTGTTAGTAGTTGGTATGCTTGGCAGGCGGGTTGACAACAATAGTTAGATTTTAGTAATGTTTTAAGAGGGACGCTGCTGCCCATCCCATCTTTCTACTATTAAGTTCTCTCAGTCGCATCTTACGTCTACACATCAAAGAAGGGGTGGCACATTCTATGCCAGGGCCACATGACGTAGTCGTATATATATATATATATATATATATATATATATATATATATATATATATATATATATATATATATATATATATATATATATATATGTATATGGGTGTTGTAAGAGTTGCAGTTGCCAATTCGCCTGCCAAGCGACTATTGCTAGTAAGGGGCTATGTTCAGCAGTGGAGACTTAACAATATGATAAATAATTATAGGTATAGTTAGCAAATAAAATTTAGGTTCTAAAATATATTTAGAAAATTTACTTCTCTAAATCTTGCTGGATTTAATTGTAATATTACACCAGAGCAATATTCAGCTACGCTTTTGTACGTTTCCAGGCTAGTCTCGTTCGATCTACAGAACCCACTTAAGAATATGATGACCTGAAATTAAAGTGCCGTAATATTAATTTTTTTAGATTTCAACATACACAAGGAAATGTTAAAACATCACTCTTGTTTAGATAATATGGCTACGACTCTGAAAAATATGTTTTTACTAAGGCATTTATGTTTGTTTCTTATATTTTATAATAAAGTCTTATAGAATACTGAGTTCTTAAGAAAAGAACGAGTATATTGGCGGATTTACCCACAAAAGGAATTTCTTTGAATACAATCTTTAAATGTTTGATAGAAATTATGAATTAGTGAAGGCAAAATAATAATAGCTAATTAAAGAGTAACAAGACGAGGACATTGATTGGATTGATGCTGATGCTTGATTGGATTCTGGACAAGATAACACATCTATATGTTACACAATTTTTGTGGTTTTATTTGACTATATAAATTTTGTACCTTTTTATTTTTATTAACTTGCTATTTACGCAGCTTTGCCCGTGTGAATCAGTACATAAAATATTCTATGTGCTAAGATAGGATATAACTTACCCCTTTTTTAATTTCATTTAAAGCTGTACAGAAGTTTTTCGTGAAAGCAACAAACAACATGAGCGTAGTACCAGATAATTTAGCCATTAGTCTAATAAAAGATAAAATATTGACTTATTTATTTATTTCTTATTGCATTCTATAATATAATTAGTAGATAACATTTCAATTATGGACCCTGTTGGGCACAGCAAGTAGGAGAGAGGAGGACAACACTCTTTTTCATTTTAGAAATAATCTAAGAATCTGTTATAATATTATCCAGTCATTGAAATTGTATCACGATAGGTACGTATTCAAAATACCTAGTCATTATAATAATACAATGTTTTCTTAAATATTGCATTATTGCCGTAATGAACTATTCTGTTATTGTAAAATATATATAGGCATATATTTCTCTATCTTTATTAAATACAAAGTCCACAATTACTTTGTAAATGTAACATGTAATAAGATTATTATTATAACATGTTTATTTATATCTATAATTTATTATTAAGTAATTAATAACTGATATGCGTGTGCAATTATTTATATTCTCAAATGTGTGTTATACTTAAATAGTTTGTTCCATATTGGTACAAGATGTAGTAAAATATATGTATTATATATTTTACAGTGAATAGACTAGCTGGAGTTCGCAATTTTGTAATTTATCCTTTTAAAGTTGAAATTTTTAAAAATCTTTCTTAACCAATGTGTAAGTCGCTACAATAAGTTTGATTAGATAATTAATTATAATATATTATTATAAAATTTCTACAGTAGCTATAGTTCCTTAGTAATCTTTCATGCAAAAACTACTGAATGGATTGGAACGAAATTTGTTGCACGGATAGGTTATATCCTAACTCGGTACATAGGATACTTTATGTATTGATTTACGTAGACAGAGTCGCGAAATACAGCTAGTAAAAATAGTCTCGTGTTCTTCTTCGTACCAAATACTACATGCATGTTAAATTTTATGACAATCAGTCGAGTTAAAAAGTTACAAACAATAGAAACCACTCTCATATCTCATAAGAAAATCTCACTACTGTAGTCGAGGTTTTCCCAAGAGACTACAGCATGGGATTCTTCAAAAGGGGCGTAAAAAGGTTTCTTCAGGGTTAGCAACGTGCGCGTAATACCCCTGGTATTGCAGACGTTCATAGGCTACGGTAACCACTTACCATCAGATGGGCCGTATACTTGATCGCCACCTCTGTGGTATAAAAAAAAGTTAGGTGCTATTGGAACAGTCAAAGATATTTGTTGACAGTTACGGTTGCCATAAACGTAAAACTCTCCCATGCTCACATTTCTCTGCTCAATGCCCTGTGCATTAGAATCCAATATTTTAAGGAGCAGAACTAACATTGTCACTCGGATTAATTTAATTGGTGAATGGTTAATTCCGTCACCGAAGATTATAAATCTACATAAAGTATATGATACAAAGTTTTGGGGTTAACCAATAAATATGTTCTGCAGTGCTATTCTTTAAAATCGAATTGAAATCGAAGTGAAATCGAATTCACTAGTAAAACCGTGAGTGACCCACATTCGACATTCTGCAAATAAATAACATCGTTGATATTTTGTTAAGATAACGAAGTAATGAGCTATGGTAAGTGTACTAACCTTATATATATCCTTAAGAGTAGACTATACTTTTCAAAACTCATTTACAAATATGAAAATAGATAACGTGGACATTTTGTGAAATGAAAGTGATGTGAGTTGCAAAATGACGGGTGAAAAGTTACAGAATAGCATCACTATGCTACTCGTACGTCACGTAGACGACGTCGCTTGTATAGGTAATGTCTTTATATATTCAGAGTGTTAAACATACCTTACTCCGTCTAGTTTGACACAGGTATTTTATGGCATCAATATCATTGTAATCCTTAGCGAATGCATCGGTAAAAACAAAAATATGCGATTCGTCCTTACTGACTTCAAGGCCTTTGCGAATACCAGCTAGGGAGTTTTCTGGGCAGTCCGTCCCACCGCTGGTTGATATCGTGTATATTGAATTCAGGAATATGTCCGGTGATTCTGATACTATTGGGATTCCCACATCTAAAAAGGATAATATTTTTATGGTAGTTCATTTTTAATTCGAGAAAAGTTAAAATATTCAGAACTTAAATTATTGTACTTATTTTAAAATAAATCAAACGTACGAATAAAAACATTAATTAAAACAATAGAGAATAGAAGAGGCAAAATGATGGGTCATCTTATACGACATGATGATTTTTTAAAGAGCATAGTAAAGGGAAAATTAGAGGTCAAAAAAAGAGGAAGTGAAAGATCGAGGAATAACTACACGGGATAGATAAAAAAAACACTAGGTGTCATGTCGTATAGGGAGGTCAAGGATATGGCCTGGGATAGAACTAGCTGCATCTTGCATGAATTAGTTGCATCGACAAGAGGAAACTCTTAAATGAAAAGAAGACGAATAAAAAACTATGTATTTAAATTTTGTGCATGAAATTGTGCGCCTAGAAGTAAAGTTCATTTCTCAACTGTGTAGTTTTTTGGTAACGGAAAACATAAAATCGACATAAAATTATATATATATATATATATACATATATATATATGTTACTTGTAAAATATGGTCAATAACGAATAAATAAATTATTGATGAAATAATACTGAATTACTTTTTGAAGAATATAAATATTTCATTAAACAAAACTCACCTGGATCGTTAAATGGCACAATTACATAGTTTTCTATATCGGGAATACTTCTTACGACATTTAGAACAGACGCGATATTAGCTTTTATAATGTTTATTTCAATTTCCATAGAATCAGTCGTGTCCACAACTATTGTAAAACTCCTGCTAGACACTAATTTTATTATGAAGCAGATTATTATTAATTTGGACAACATTATGTTAATGTATGGCGACCGCAAAAGTTCAATGAATACTAAACAGTTATTATGATTATTCACATTACTTTGTAGTATTTAAGAGCAAGCTGCATATTGCATTTGTTTCGATCCGATTCTGTAAACGCTTAACCGCTACAGTATCAGATGGAATTTTTCTGTTTACATAACTGCCTACTACATTAACATAGTAATAAAATAGAAACAAAATATAGAACAAAAGATAATGATGTTTTGATATTAGCTTTTACCTACGACTTCGTCCGCATAACCGGGATTTACTCACGGACCAAAATAAACAATAGCCTATGTTTTTCTCCATCTCATATAGTATCATCATTATATCAGTCGTTTACTATCCATAGCTGAGCTGAAAGGAAGTCTGTCCCCCATAAAGGGGAGTTTTGCCAGTATTTGCACTTAAATATCCTTAGGTATTTCTCCTTAATTTTTTTTTTTGTATCAGATTTCGTACTGTATTTTAAAGTATCAAATCAAAATCAATACATTGAAATAATATTTTTTTATGAAACATAACACTCGTGTAGCAAGTGGTTTTATTATTTGCACAAATATTTTTAGAATATGCTAAAGTGCTGGATGGATAAACAAAATACTTCTAAACACGTTTTGGATTTAAATATAATGTAATCATGGTCTTATGCTAATTATTCAAGGCTGGCGTTATAGTTTCCCTTGTACATTCATCTATCTCTATTTGAAATAATTTATGCAATAATTCCTTTTCTGACTAGATCATCCTTGATTTACACAGTTTATCCATTTCATATTTGATACTTTTCTTAAAACACTCTCTTCATTTCTTCATTGCATGTCCATTCCAAGATAAACGATTATTTCTTAATTTTTCTCTCACTTCTTCAAACTTTTTCTGATGTATTGATTTTTAATATTGTCTATTTTTGTTAAACCACACACCCATCTCAACATTCGCATCTCAGAATATTGCATGTAATGTAATATTCTTTTATCTGTCACCTTTGCTGATCAGTTCTCGGATCGATATAAGATAACTAGGTCGGATCTTGCACACTTTTCCCTTAAGTTTAAAGGGGATTCGCGAGTCAGCCTTAGTTTCCGTAAACGCCATTTCATCTATCCTGTGTTAATTTACTGCTTTACTGTAGAACTCTAAATATTTTATAATGAAAATAATAATTATATCCCTTTTTCTTGAGCATCCTTTACCCAATATGGAGATTATCCTCTTAACAAAAGCGCTATTAAGTAGTAATTTGATAACATTTCAACCTCAATATGAAGGCAGATAATTTGTGAATTTATTCTTCTTGCGTTTATCGCAACAAAGTAAATGATACATTTACAAGTCATGAATACATTGATGAATTTCTATATTTATAACCAACAGTTCTAATAATGATATCTAATAATTATTATTATTATCTAATAATGATTGTTATTAAGAAGTATAGATGAGTCCTTGTCTCTGCCCAACAATAAGTTTTTGCCTTTTATAACTATTGATTAAGCTGTTATGATACTAAGAGACAATAAAACAACGAATTAATTAATATATTTATTTATTATAATTAAGACATTTAAAATAAGATTTATTTATTCGTTTTTGTTTTTTTTTAATATTAATATATCTATGAAGCATTAGGTTTTAGAGTTAGAATAAAAAATAAATTTTAATAGGTACAATAAAATTCAGAGTACTATATTGTAGTACCAACAGGAATACTCACAGGAAATTACAAAAATGTGATAACAAAACAATGTAAATAAACAAAGACCCTATTATATTATTCATTTTTAATGGGAATAACATAATGTGGGTAGATACCTAACTGTATTATAAATAGTAATTGTTTGTAACAGTTTATTGTACAGTAAAGTCTTAAATTATAGGATACAGAGTTTTCAATGATGAGATTTCTTCCAATCAATCTCTGATAGAAATTGTAAATTGATGGAGAACAATGAATGAGTGGCCCAATCTTCTTCATTTCCAGTGGGTGTCGTAAGAGGCGACGAATTAAGTGGTCGAAGGATGAGCAGCAGCATCTCTCTTAAAACATCACCAAAGCTTAACTGCGTTTACCAACCCGCCTGCCAAGCGTAAAAATTACTGGCAAAACCCCCCCAAGGGGCAGGCCTATTTCAGTAGGGGACCGTTACCGATATGATGATGATTTACCATTCTGAGTTGCATCAAAATGTGTGATTGAGTAATTAACACGTAAGTATTTTTACATTGCTTCACATAATAGATTTTTTTAATAGGTGAAAATGGAATAGTAACTGCAGTGCGCTATTGATATTCGGGTCAACAGTGATAGATGATAGGTAAGATGAAGGCACATCAAGAAACCTATCGTGAAGAATTCGAGAAGAATTAACTAGGATGGTTTCGAGGGGAAACTGCGTGGAAGTCGACCTGAGAGCCTACCATGAAATGTTTTCGGATCCAAACAAAACAGAAATTTGATGTTAAAATTACATAATACATGCCGTTTGGGAATATTAAAAATGTTAAAATATTGTTCCTTTTGACTTTTATGATAGGATGTATGACGAACGAAATGTTAAAATCTATTTATTGGTCCGATTTTGGTCTAAACAAAACAGGACGTTGAGTCCGAAATTTCGAAATTTCATTTCATGGTAGACCCGCTGATTGCTATCAATGGGGTTGTTAAGCCCAATTACTGACAATCCCTTCTCGTCCCACATTTATAATATTAAGTACATTAAGACATATGTACAATAAGAATCACTAGATTGTATATTGCTATAATTTTTTTGACAGGAGTAAACATTATAAAAGGTACATGATGATTTTTGACGTCTGTGAGAGAAATCAAGATCCTGGAACAGAGTGAAAATTTTTGACGAATTATGAAAGTGAACGTAAAAAAATAGAAAAGGTCATGGACCCCTTTACTGATAATTTTCATTTTTTTTCATTTCTGCCGTTAACTGTCCACTGCTGAATGCCTTCCCCATAAGGGAAGTTTTGCTAGTAGTCGCCACACTTAGAAGGCAGGCACTTGGCAGCTGCAGTTAGGCTTTTAGAGATGTTTTTTAAACCCTCTACCATTTAATTACCTTATTGCATCAATCTCAAGCAGTCATTATAGGTAGTTCTCATTTTGCTGCAAAACTTCGTAATTTAGTAATTCCCCTACGTTATTTATGACAGAAAAATACTCCCATACTCCTCTATAGTTAAAAATTTGGAAATTAACATTAATCGGACATTATCATGGGGATCCTCATATAATATAAATAAAGCGCTTGCAGAACTTTCTTCCTTTAAAAACTAAACTAAATGACACTCGGATATTTATGGCTAATATGGAAGGTTGTGAAACTTCTATTTTTAATAGTTGTGGTCAATCTTTGAGTGTTGGCAGTCACTAACGGTAGCGGAATTAAACAAAATAATTCTAATCAAATTACCAGTGATATGGACTTTGGCAAGTAAAATGTTACGAAAAAATTATGCGTAAACACAAAATTCCAGTAATTATAATATTTAGCGTTATCTATGATGTTTATGACTAAATTTACTGTTTTTTTGCAGACCAACAATTAGTCGTTGGACAACACATCGCAAATTTTTAATTAGATAGATAATAGGTATCTTAGTTAATTACACTATTTATATATCTTAGTTTATTAAACTTTCGCGTTGTTTACAGATATTTTACAATAAATACACGTGGATTGCACTATGTCGAAACGTCGACAATAAGAAAGCACGTGTAAGCTAAAGACTGTATTATTATCTATAATATATATATTATGTTATGTAGGGTAGTTTTCATAGTAATTTAGTTACGTAATCCTAACTTTACATGTATTTCATATATTCTTTAGCAATATACAGGTTGTAAACCTTTTAGTAATAAAGACAAATGAAGCACAAGTACTTACAGTTCATTTATTTTAGAAATTACACTATTAAATCATATTTACTTAATTTACTTAGTATATAATATATATCAAATAATATAAAATAAATACCCAACTTCTGTTAATTCATTAAGATTTATTTAACTATAGCTTGTTTAGAACTTTCATTAACAATAATTGTGATATATTTTATATAATGTCCACGTGGTTTACTATACTAGTTCACTCTTGATACATCAGGGCGCTCCGTTCTGCTCAACGGTTGGACAAGAAGTCTCTCCCCACGCAAATAATAATCTTTTATATCTACACGGCCGAATTTGCGTAAACAAGTCAGCGAAACCACGTGCTCCTACAATTTCATTACTTTTTATTCAAGTATCATGATAATAAATAATTATAAAATCAATTAAAATATAAATTAATGTTTTATATACACTACAAGATCAATTTATTGCAAAATTTGGTATAATAACAATTTTAACATTTTATTATTTTTCTTTTCTTCTTTAGTCTGATTTTTATTAATAAATGTAGGTACACATTTTGACACAAGATATTTAAGAAAAATAATATAATTAAAAAAAATCTAATACACGTAGTAAGTAGTATTAAGTAGTATTTACCAGCAAAAAAATATGTTATCCGTTAAGTTCCGATAGTATATTTAAAAAAGGTATCTTGTCTGCTTGTGCTAGATAAGACGGAATTAAAACAAAAATGGTGTTTTAATATATAAGTTGATAATTGCTACTACTACTTGTGAGAATGTAAGGGTAAGGTACTATTAGAAAGTCGGTTGAAAACAGACGAGAATCTTCTCCGTTTTGTAAGTCCTTGATATTTAAGTCGATAACTATCTTTTTTGTTACAGAATATTCTTTAATCAAAATATATTCTCAAAATTTTATTGATACAGAAATGTACCTAATAATCACATAAACATTTTAATGGGAAAACACTAATGATATAGAAAAGAACTAATGATAGTACTAATTATTTTTTTAAATATATAATATCAGTAAAAAATTCGATTACCACTTAGAGAACTTTATGACTAGGTATAAATAAAACTGGGGAAACCCGATAGCTACTTTGCTGGACGTGCTTATCTGCAGGTCAAATGATATTGGGAATTATAACATGTAACGGCCATATTATTAAAATTAGAGTATTGAGAAATGCCTAGTTTTGTATTTGCACAATCGTGATTTAAGTTTTTAATCGAATTCAAAATATAGAAGGTTTTCTGCTGTATTTTTTATACAACACATGATATTGGCGTTAATTCTGAACCAGTTTTATAGTTATAAGTATGATGAAATTGTGAATAGGCACCAAAATCATATATTTATTCTATTTAGCAAGGATAGTAAACAAAAATATAGTTCACCAGATAGAAAACAGTTACCGTCGCTTATAAATAGTCGTAAGCTATAAACATTCCAGAATAAACCTATGCTATTAATAGATCACTCGCATTGCCATTTCTTAGGAATAAGTATAGTTTACGCCTTTCAAGCATTAGTATAATAATTTAAGATTTTGTTCAAAAATTCAAAAGTCACGATTGAACTTTTAAAAAACCAGTTATTTATATTTAAAAACTAAGCTATTAAATCGATTTTGATAAAATTTCTATGCGACTATCTTTATTCAAATATACTTGTTTACAAGTACTTTTAAATCGTGATTTTTATGGATGCAGGGCTCGGAAAGTTGTCATCTGTTGAGAAGAGCACGCAAGAATCTCAACATTTATTCTTTTAAATCTCTGTTAACATTATGTAAACTCTGAAAGAGATCTCTTCCAGTCAACCAATTACTGATTAAAGATGTACCTGATTAGCGACCAATTGTAGTTTCACGAGTGTTGAGTGTGAAAGTAAAGCTTATTCAGCCAAATGCTATACTCATTTCTAAATAGTCAATAAGTTTGTAGTTAAATGTGTTAAAATGTTTGTGTTCACGTTCTAAATTTGAATATTTTAAAACTAATATACCAACTGGATAATATTTAAAATTAATTATTTCCTATATTCCTGTTACAACATATCACTTACATACCTATTGCTTATTATAAATAAATTGACATGAAACTTTATTTGTTTTACTTCACAACGTTCATACATCTAGTACCGAATGCAGTCACATTCTCCACAATGTTTTTTAAAAGTACAAATAAATTTGTTTCATTTATATTTCTATTAAACATATTTCTATTAGTGCAAGCTCAAAGTGAAAAGAGTAGTGTGACATTTATAATTGATGATACTGGATCGATGTCTGATGATATACAACAAGTGAAGCGAGAAGTACACACAGTGTTCAATACAGTGATGAATTCGGCTGCATCGCAAATAGAAAACTTCATTCTTATCACTTTTAATGATCCTGGTGAGTTTATTTTTTATTATAATACTTAAATGGCAAACATTGATGGTCCACCTGATTAAACGTGGTAACTATCGCGTACAGATATCAACATAAACTAGACACTGAAGCGAATGGTACTAAGGATAGAGGGGTACGGTCTAACCACACTTCTTCTCTGTAATTTGACTGTCATATTCACACAGTTTCTCAAAACAAATATATCTTTTTTAGAGATAAGTTCTTTGCTTACATTATTTCTAATTGTTATCATTACTACATGTTTTTTCAAATAGCTAATCGTAAACATGTAACATATATGACTACACTACAAAATACGATCAAAAATTAAAACGAGAAGGCATCAGAGAAAATGCGTTGGTGTTTTAATACTGGCTTTTGAGATTTTTAGAACATGTAATTTGACTGTCATATTCCATCGTTCAAACTGAATCGCAGCTGTGCAAGCTGCTTTACGATTATGCTTCACACTATTTTCAGGTGTCAATAGAGAAATCTCGCGCTAAAACAGTTCCAAACAGAAAGAGAAATACTTTATTTGTAATGTTAATAATATAGAGGTTATCAAGTTTCACAAAACAAATATATCTCTTTTAGAGATAAGTTCACTTTTGCTTACATTATTTCTAATTGTTATTATTACTGCATGTTTTCTTTTCTAGAGCTTTTTTATGTTTTTTATGCTTTGATAAGGGAAAAAGGCTACGTCAATCGACGCAAAACTAATATGAAATCAACATAAGAGTAAATTTTATCAATTACATGAAACTGTTATAAAAATTGAATTAGAATTGGCGACACATTGCACGTGCAGTATATTTTCTATCCAACCTTGCATATCTGTCCAAACAGCAGAATATTAATGTCAGTACCTTACTATTTAAGAAAGAAATGTAAAGTGCTACACACAAGCCCAAGAGGTTTAAATGGTACTAAAAATTCTTTAATTTTTTGTGTGTATTTGCATGCAAAATAAATAAATAACCGCAAACAAAAAGGACGAATTGAAAACTTCTCTGGAAGTTGCTAGAATTGACTTTTTGACGTGGGAGTGAATCTTATCAATTGCAAATAGCTAATCGTAAACACGTAACATATATCACTACACTTAAAATACCATCAAAAATTAAAACAAGAAGGCATCGGAGAAAATGTGTTGGAGTTTTAATACTGGCTTTTGAGGTTTTTTAGAACATGTATGGTTTTTAAATTTGTACTGTGTCAGTCTTTTTGTAAAAAATATCATAAATATGTGTTTTTTTCCCTAAATATATTATATTACAAATACATATAAGTTTTACTATTGCATTCTGCTGTTTACATTAAAATGCAATAAGATGGTCTCATTATTGAACTAGTAAATTGTACTCCACAAAACTAAAAACGCCGATTTCAATTGTGCTAATACCACTTTTTTTACTTAAAAATCAAACTACAGAAGTGATTTTGATAAAAATTTTAAGAGACTAATCGGAAAATAAAAAGCTAAAAAATAAAATTTCCCAAATCAGTTTATAAATGACGGATTTCTTAAGTAACACATAAAAACTACAACCGAATTGAAAACCTTCTCTTTAAAGTCCATTAAAAAATCTATTTATTTTTTTATTTATTTCATGTTTCAGGTGTGAAATTATTAACTATAACAAAAGATAAAGATGAATTCAAAAATTATTTAGAATCCATCGATGTAAATGGAGGGGGCGATTGTCCAGAATATGCTATGTCAGGAATCGAATTGGGACTTGAAAAAAGTTTGCCTGGATCTTATTTCTACGTTTTCACAGACGCTTCTGCAAAAGACTATGAAAAATTGAAACGAATTCAAAGTCTTGCCATTAAAAAACAAACACAGGTATCTATTGTTTTTTATAATCTTGGAATAGCAAATATATTGACGGACTACCTGATAGTAAAGTGTAGTAATGATTTACTGATTTTTTTTATATACCTATTGTCCTCTATATTTTGAATATTACAATATTATAGTCAATCCTTAGAATCACCAAACTTAGGGAATTGAACAATACAAAAATCATAATAGAATTGGTTTGTATAATCTACCGATGTATATGGACTAGTCCGTCAATATATGTTATACCTTCAGTACACGAGGTCTATTAAACACAGCGGGTTATGCAAAGTAAATCCTATTATGTTTTATATAATGTGCAGATTTTTTTCTTCTCTATCTTCTCTAGTTTATTTTATTTTGCACTTTGTAATAAGTATAGTCGACTGATAACCGACGTGTCATTAGCAAATGTAGTAATGCGAATGATAATTGTATTTAGTTAAAATCTTTATGAATTTTTATCGATATTAGTCATAAAAAGCAACACAAAAATAATCAAAAAGTATACATAAATAATTTCAACAGTTTGTTTTATATTTTTATTAAACTAGTTGTTTTTTCCGGGCTTTTTGGATTTACTATATAAATTATTCCATATATTAAGTTAGAATATTAATATAATTTGCCAGTTTACCAAATTTAAACATACAGATATCTTTTAAATCTTTCGTATTCATAACATTATTAACTATTTCCCGCGACTTTGCCTGCGTGGATCAGTATATATAATTGTATGTGTCAAATTAGGATACAAACCGCTGTATCAAATTTCATTCAGGATCTGAATGTAATTCGATACACGGATTTAAACGTGATTAACAAACGTAGGTACAAAACATGCAAACATCTTGATTGGCTGTCACTTTAATAATATTAAGTAGTAAGCTATTATAAATATCAAGTAATAGAAAACAGTATGAAATTTTATTTAATTTTAGGTTGTATTTCTTTTGACTGGTAGATGCAATTATAACGATGACGATCCCATGTACAAATCGTATCACACGCTGGCTGCAGCGACATCAGGACGAGTATTTCATATGAATAAGAGCGAAGTGGGAGAGGTAAAGTCAGTTTAAAAATCTATTTAATAATTAGATATGCGAGTATATTAGAGAGCTACGTTCCATAGCAACACAGACAAACAGATGAGGTCTTATTTTTACTGAAAATAATAATTGTTTAGTGTTATTAAAATTTAAAAGACATTTAGGATTATTCGGTATCCTTTAAATAAACGAATGAAAACTCTTTACTGTTCTTTTTAAAGAGCGATACGAATCATAAATATTAACAATATGTACTCAAAGAAAATTAATTCTTAATTACATAAAAGTAAGATAAAGACTAAATAGCTAACTTTTTCCAGGCAATTTTATACTTCGGTAGAGAAAATTTTTCACGGCGGAACTTGAATGGAGAAATACTAAAATATAAAAATAATTCACAATAAGCTATAACTTTTAATTTTAATTGTGAATAAAATTAAATTAGTATAACTAAAATATGATCTATTATCTATACTTATAATAAATCTGTAGAGAGGTCAATTCTGTGCATGAAACATATTTCTAAAATAACTATCAGGGGGTGATTAGTAATCGATACTGATACCAAAAATGCAATCAGTAAAATTTTTGTCTGTCTGTCTTTTCGTTATAGAAACAAAAACTACTCAACGGATTTTAACGAAACTTGGTTCAATTATTCTTTATACTCCTGGGCAGGTTATAGTATACTTTTCATCACGCTGTGATTAATAGGAGCAGAGCAATGAAGGGAAATGTTAGGAAAATGGAAGAAGTTATTCCATTTTTAAGCTTCCGGCGCGTGTGCAGCTTTAATGGCCACTTTTTAAAATGTAAAAATGTCCACCCGTTCGATGCCGGGACGGGCCGCTAGTATTATAATAAATGTCTACATTTTGTCATTCGGTATTGAGTATCCTTAGGATGTATCATTTATCAGCTTTGCTTTTTTACTTTTTACGTGTATACAATTTTATTAATCATTACAGATTATAAAGTATATAGCCGATACAGTGGAGAGTCGAAAAACTAAGATCGTTGCTAAAAAATTTGCCCCTGGATACGGCCACAAAGTGGAAGTAAGCATATATAATAAATAGTAATAATTAAATTATTCATAATTAAAATAAAAGCAACTAATATTCAATAAGTTATAAAAAATACATTATATATAAAATAATCTTTCCTCTTTAAATATCATAATTTAGATCATAGTTCCTCAACGTAATTTTACTTATTGGTGGCTTTGCTAATATATTTTTCTCTAAAATCTATGTTAATTTTACTACCTGCTTTTTAGACCATATTTTTTAATTTTCTAGCGCCCTTTCCACGCCATCTCAATGACGAATTATTTCATTTTTACACTTAATTTTCTCTTGGTTTTCTACAGCCCCCCTGAAAGTCTCAAACGCCCACAAAGCGACTTAGTTTGGATAGATTCTATGTACAGACATCTAATTCCTACTGTTATTTGCTTTTAGTATACCCTCGATTCAGAAACGAATGGTTCGAGTGTAATTATATCAGGTGAAGATCCTAAAGGAAAAGTGACAAACCCTGATGGATCAATCAGCTCTGTACCTACTATTGACACATCTGGAGTAGTGGTGAGTAAAATTAAATTTGTGAGAGTCATTTCTACAGGCAGTACTGAAGATTATTGATATCATTCATATTTATAAAAAAAAGTATTTTTTTTATCTGTAAATAGTATAAAATATCAATTTTAAATTTATTTTTTCTTACGCCTTATAAAAAAAAATAAATAGAGTAGGCATACTGTTAATATTTTTAATAAATAAATTTATGAAAATTTTAATTTAACTGCAAATGAAATTAAATATAAACGCTTAATATTTAGATAATTTACAATATCTCGCTGATATATGAAAGTTTGGAAAAGTATGAATATATAAATAAACAACAATAAAATAATGTAAACGAGTTGTATTGTTATTTCTTCGTAAATATGGTATAAAGCACTGTTATTTATTTAATTTATTGAACTCTTTATTACAACATAAACAAAAATATACAATGACAAGTGAACAATTCAAGTGAAATACAGTAACATAAATACACATTGAAATATGCACATAAAGGTACAAAAGGCGGTCTTATCACTAGGGCAATCTCTTACAGACAACCTTTGGTTAAAGGAGAACAGATAGAAATGGATAGGCGCAAGAGTGAATTAATAATTTTTCATGCATAAAATACAAAAATATATTTTGTGTATTTTTTTTTTAAATACAATTAAAACACTGTGTATCACTTTGATGTTTGATTCCCGATCAAATCTTCCAGCTCGTGTGATTTGGTCGGGAATCAAACATCGTACTCGTTTGTATTCAGTCATTCTCTTTCCACGTGTTTAGGTTATAAAACCTCCTTCTCTTACTGGAACATACATCGCTGAGGTTGGTAGTAAATCGGAAACATCGGTCGTAGTCATGGCCACTACCAAGATCGACTTTCAACATGGTTTCTCTGTGTTTAAACCTAAATTACTCAATGCCACCACTATCAAACCTATAGCAGGTGAGTTCAATTAAGAAATTACTATGTATTTTTTAAATCTATAGCCATAAAGACAGTAAAGGCTTCAAATTTAAAATTCCAAAATTATTATAGTAAATACAGAATTAGCAGTATTATTTTTTTAACGTAACATAATTGTTTTTCGTGTAATCCCGGCATAGAATAGGCCACCCCTTTCTTTTCTGTGGGTGTCGTAAGAGGCGTCTAAGGGAGTGCGAGGGATGGACATTAGGGCCCCTCTTAAAACATCTTCAAAGCCTAACTGCAATTGTTTATTTGCCTGCCAAGCATGGCAACCACTGACAAACCCTCCCGCCCCTATGGGGAAGCTTATATTCAGCAGTGGATAATTAAAAGCTGATATGATGATGATGATAATAATTGTTTAGACAGATTACTAAGAAAAAATAATTCTTGCAAATTTATTACAGATATAAAATCGTACCTGTCGATTGCGCTTATAACGGACAGCGAAAACGTTGAGTTGAAAAAGATAAGCATCGTAGATTTAGATGATAAAATTATTTTGGAGAAACCTGTAGAACTAATTGATAAAAAAACCAATTACTATATAACGGAACCCTTTGTACCACCAAACAGTTTATTTAAGATTGGAGTAAGTAATCATTTCTAAATAAAAAAATAGTATTTATTTATTAAGAAATTATTTATATTATGATTTATATTTTTATGTTAAATTATTTTCAGATAACAGTTTACAATCCAAAAACGAATTCTACAATAAAACGATTCAGTTTAACACCGATAGAGCCACAAAAACCTGAGTTAGGTATGTATTACATTTTTTTTTATATCCCATATGAGAAATTTCTCAAGTTTTTGATAAATTATTATTGAATGATCAAATAAACAATAAAAGTGCTCATAACTTTAATTCCTGAAACTAATAAATAAAAAAATTTATAAATAAAAACTTTCAACGAGACTAGTATGATTATGCGACAATGCGATAATGGGTCTATAGATTTTAATAAAGCAGCGGACCATAATAATGACAACTTTAAAAAAATTTATGGCAATGCAATTGTAATTTTGGAAATTGGAATTGGAAATCAGTCTAAAGTTTGTCAATATACATGTACTTTTCACAATATTTTCCGAGGACTATCCGGTTTCATTCTTAAAACAACCTAGATTTAAAGCTTCTATGGGATTTACCGATGCTGTTGACTGCTAATAGTTCAAATATATTTGAACTACAATAAAAAAAAAAAAAATTAAACAGTTATATATAAATATAAAATATTCCGAAATTTAGATGGCAGTCATAAGCTTATTTTTATTTATTGTATTTATTATCATATTATCATAACAAATATGTACTTTTAAGATATTATATATTCATATAATCAGTAGAACTAAATTAAAAATAACTACTTAAAATTGATTCAGATAATTAAATATATAATTTTATATACATCAGATGGTAAACCAATAGACACGTCTCCTGTGGTAACAATATTGGATGGATCTGAATTAAATGCTGAATACGATGAACCTTTAAAACTGGTTTGTAAAGTGCATGGATATCCGAAGCCAGACATTGTTTGGGAAAATGCTATTTCTTCTGAAGTGTTAAAAAGCGAGGTAAGTGTCGCAAGACAAGATTTAAAAATGTTTGATAGAGTTACTCTTTCTAATCAGTAATGATCAAAAATACCAAGAAAAAGATTATAACAATGAGACATTGTTGCCATATTAACTTGAGAGTTAAAGTATACTGACGGATATTTGAAATCATTATTTGATAGTATTCAAGCAAAAGCTTAATTGTTATCTAAATTTATAAACAGCTCCATAATACTGTCTACAATCTATTAAACTACATTTATAGATAGTTTTTTTACACTCTTCATAAAACACACTGTTTTATGAAGACATACGTCTACCAGACGGACTAACAGTCTAATAGACTGCAACAACATTTTGTTCATTCAAGTAGGTAATAGACAGATAGATTGTCTATTTAGAAATGTCCACGTATGTATTACGGATGAAAAAAGGTTATCACATCCTAACCTAATTAAGTAATATACCATATATTTACATAATAATTATAATAAATTACAAGATTGATTGATTACTAATTTGATATATAGTTTTAATTGCAAATAGAGTCCAGGCGGACTGATGACTTTCAAGAAATATACCAGAATCTGTTGAGTTTATATAGTCGTATCTGTACTGTACAAACGAGATAGCACTCACTCATTATTTATGAAATCTCTATAAAGACTAATATAAACTTTGAATTTAGTATAAATATTTTTAAAAACAAATAGTATTTTCTATTTTTGGTTACAGTGTTCCAGTATTACATTATTAGTAATACAGCGAGGAAATTTTGATCTTTTACAATTCTGTTTTTATTTATGTTTATTTTTAATATACTGAAAATCAGGAATTTAATAAAATTACTGTGTTTGTCGTTTTCAATAATTGTTTCATCAGGAAGTCTTCTTCAGAGTATAACAGTGCTTATGTACTTCTCAATATCCACTATCGTATAATTCTATTGTTCTAAATAAATAAAATATGCTACTTTTCCTGTCATATTTAACTAGTCCCTATACTAATAAAACCCATTTTATTTCATTTAAGCTAACTGTGTTGGAACCTCCATACGACTACATAAGTACATTGGAAATAGACAAAGTAAATAATAATGTTACCTACAGATGTAAAGCATTTATTAAAAGCAATGAAGATAGTAAAACAATAGATATTAAGACTAAGAGGAAGTATTATTTTGAGATGTTGGAGATTCCTAAAGGTACAGCTATTAGTATTTTAACAACACACAACATCAATACACAATAAATTAATGTCTGACTACTGGGTACAGTTTCTGTAAGAGATGAATATAACCTACCATTACAATAGTGACCCAGTGAAATTGCGACAAATATTTTAAAGAAGAAGCATTTCCATTACATAGTCTCTTATTTCTACTCTCTATTGAAGATATTCATGAATAATCTCCATTGAATTATTGTATCGTTAAAAATCTCTCATACACAATAAGTTTTTACATATTTCTACAAAGTATTCGAATAAAATAGACTGATCCTTTCTAATATTATATATTTTTATGTATACGTGGCAGTGAAATTCTAAATAGTAACACGATCTTTCGACGATTACTATATCTATAGCCATCAATATAAAATATAAATCCGAACATTTAGAATATTATGAAATATTATGATACTGATTAATCGCATATTATTGTTTATTTAGATTTAAATATAGAATACAAAAAAGAGGGCAGTGTTCATTGCAAAGTAAATGCGTATCCACCAGCAACCACAGTATGGTATGCAAAAGGAAAAAGAATATACGGAGATAGTAAAAATGTTCTCATATCTGCCGATAGCACAATTCTCACCATTAAACATATGGAACCACATCTACAAGGGGCGTATATGTGCGAAGTTAGAAATGAATTTGAAAGAAATGTTACAAATTTCAAGATCTCAATTACTGGACTAGGTGACTATGAATAGTTTCTTTTTTATTTGTACATTGAGGGTAATCTTAATACTAAAATTTTAAATCTTTAATATTGTATTCTGTGTTTTTATTTTTATTTTATAGAAGCACCTGTTATTAGAAAAGGAGTAAACAAAATCAACGTATTGAAAGGAAAAAGTATTGAAATATCATGCAGGTAATTTAATTCAATATATTTTGAACTAAAACATAAATTTTGTTAGTTATATAAACATACTCTCTAATGTTATTCTTATTTTTATTATTCTCTAATTTTATTCTGCGACAAATAATACCTACATAAGAAACAGCACAGTACGTTCTTAATGAGTTAAATGGGCATTGTGTTGTTCTTCTTTACCATCTCTATATTAAAAGAAATATGTGCATTAAACTTATATTTCATACAATAAAATTGTAATGATTAAGTTGCATTAAAAATATTTCATAATTTGTAAAAAAGCTATACGCTATTTCATTCTAAAATTTTTGTAAATGGTAAATATGTTCCATTCGCTTAAAAATAATATTTGAAAATATGATGTTATTCTAGTAAAGGAATCCATTAATTATATGATACATTACACTTAATTGAAAATTCAAAAAAGAATAAATTTAAACCGAAAATGCTATAACACTTCATGGCCAAAAAGGTCAAATTAAGCGCCGATGTAACATTTATTTTTTTATTTTTGAAATTTGCTAAAATAAGACACGTAACTTTAATATACTTACTTTTTAACCATTCATATCAAATTTGATTTGTAAAGATATTATTATTTATACTTTTTTAATATGCTTCAGAATTGTACGTGGTATACCAAAGCCTAAATTTTCTTGGATGTTAAGAAAACACTCAGAAACTTATAGCTTGTCTGAAGATACTGAATCTCTTTACTTGAATAATGTAACGTCTGAACATAACGGAGTATACAGATGCTTGGCTGTGAATGTAGTCGGTGTCGACTATCATGATACCGAAGTGATTGTAAACTGTATGTATCCTTAATTTATACTATACTTTATCATATCGACCATTGACTGTCCTCTGCTGAACATAGGCCTTCCGCATAAGTTATCCCGTAGTTGCCATAATTGGCATGCGGGGTGACGACTGCAATTAGGATTTTGTAATAACACTAAATGAATTTTAATATAATTTTGTATAGATAATTTTGAACTCAGAGAAACAACTCTGTGTATTGATACTATTTAAAAAATCAATCCTTATGTTGATAAAATGGTACAAACGTAGTCTTGAATGAAAGCTAAAACTTTCATTTTTATAATAGTAAATAAAATTACTACTTTAGATTATAAAAAAAAAAATATTTTCGTGATGTTCGTTTCAAAATAGCCAAAAAAAATATGACAACAAATAACTTTGTTACAGATCCACCTCAAATTAAAAATGATAAAACGGTCATACAAGCTGTAGAAGGATCGAAGCCAATACTCTTATGCAATACTGATGGAGCACCAGCTCCTTACGTTAGGTGGTTTCTCAATGGCACCTTACTTAGAACGGATACAGATCATCAAATATACAGAGACAATAGTATGAGGTAAGTATTGATAAATTTTACTGATACCTATGATCATTTAGAAATACTAGTCTAAATTAAAATCATCAATCCCCTTGAAATCCATTTAAGAATTTGATAACCGCATTTTGCTTCGTTGGATTCTACTAAAATTGCTAAAATATTAAATAATAATTCTGTGACGTCACGGATATAGACATAAATATATTACAAAAAAAAAAATAAATAACGCTGATTGATTTATAGAAGTTTCCTTATACAATATGACTTTACTTTCAGAATCATCGCTTCCGAAGAAAATAGTGGCAAATATACGTGCGTAGCAGAAAATATATATGGGAAAGCTGAGAGAACTGTTCAAGTTGATTATATTGGTTTGTTCTTTATACTACTTTTGTAGTAAACAAGCATGCTTCCCGTCTGATAGAAAACAGGATTACCGTAGTCTAAGGACGCTAGTAACACCAGAAATGTAGCGCACACGTTGCTGACCCATCATCATCATATCAGCCTTTAACTGTCCGCTGCTGAACATAAGCTTAGATACTAAAGCCTAGAGAGATTTTGCCAGTAGTTACCACGCTTGGCAGGCGGATTAGTAACCGCAATCAAGGCTTTAGAGATGTTTTGGGAGACTGCTGCCCATCCCTCCCCCTTCCTTAGTCGGCTCTTACGATACCCACGAGAAAGGAAGGGACGACCTATTCTATGCCGGGACCACACAGTTAGACTCATAAGAAACCTTAATACACCCCTTTTGAAAATCCTCATGGTGTAGTTTCTAGACAAAGCCTCGGTAGAAAAATCATTACACCACCTCAAGATAAAACTCCTCTTAAATCACACTGTGCGTGACCGTTCTGGTTCTAAGGTGTGAGAATAGATTCCCTAACGATGACGAGCAGTGCGATGGTATGTTTTTATTCCACTTTCTCTTGTATGTGAATGTGAGAAAGACTCTGTTTTCCGCGCTTAGCCTCTCATTTGGGCCGTTGTGCGTATGAGTCGTGGCTAGTACGGCCAACCTAGCTCCGCCCAGAAGCGCAGAAGCTTCCTTTCTCTTGTATGTAATAATTAATTTAATTTTGGCTGTTTAAAAATTGTACACTGCTGTATCCGCTGACTTTGATGCTCCTTTCCACTTTGGGTGAAAACTCGGTGAAGAAAACTCTATCAGAGTTAAGCTCGCCTTTGTACTTTTGTTTTCCTCTGTCATATTTTTATAACTAATGTGTACAATAAAGTATTAAATAATTTTTTAAATAAATAAATAATAAAATGTTAATTTTTTAAAACAAAATCAAATTATCCAATTTCAGTGCCAGTCAATATTGAGTTACCAGACAGATCTACGCTAGAAACTAGAGTAGGAAGACACTTAGTATTGCCCTGTCGTGCTGATGGATATCCTAAACCTGATGTGAAATGGGTATTTTACAGCACCAATCCTGAAATACCGCCCAAAATATTGAAGTAAGCAATATAATATTACCGTCTTTCTAGTTATTTAATTTTTTTCGTAACTTTGTTGGTTTGGAAAGTGTTAGTTTCTATGCATATGGATATTCCTGTACAAGCAAATGTAAATAAAATTAAATTATGTTTTTAAATGGAATGCAGTGATGTGAATTTAAAATCTGTTTACTTTTTATATTGGAAATGATGTATTTTAGTATCTATCGAGGAATTATGTGGCTCTTTGCAGATAGCTCTGTTTCACTGATGTTTCACCATTAAATATTTATTGTGTGTTTTATCCCTACGCCTTGGTTTGAACGGTGAACGATAAAATACAAGCATGGTACATTTTTTGTAGCATTCTCATGTACATTTTTAAATAATTATTTTAGATTTTTTTCTTCGCAAATTTGGAAATAAAAGTGGAATTGTCTTTTCTCGCATTTTCGATCAAAAGTAAAAAACTATGCAACAAAAAAATAAATACATAAAAATTTGTTTTAAAATGTACAAAATGAAGCACTTTAATATGATATCCCTTGGATTGATAGGTTAATTTTGAAATATTGAGTACCCTTTTTGGACCATTTTTTCCATCGCAATATGTATGGGCTAATAATATATAAAATTATTCAAAAAGATTTCAAATCGATAGCATTAGTAATTGCTAAGATATAGCGCTGTGACAGATGGATGGACAAAGAATCTTTAAAATGGGGTCTACTCATAGCATGAACGTCACTCTATAATATTCTGTAACTTCCGCAGTGTTTAATTGTTTATGTCTATAGGCAACTGCCATTATTTTACTTCATCGGGACCATCAACGTGTTTGCCATTCCAAATTATACAATAGAATATATTTATAATGTAGATGAGATTTATTTTATCTATATATTACTATTTTATATCAATATTTTTTTTGCTATTTATTTGTTCATCACGTTGCACCGTCAGTTATACTTTGTTATTTCTATTTGCGGTCAACTGATAGATAACACCATATGATGTTAACTCCGCCATTTATACTATCTAATTGTATTAAAGTTTAATAAATATAAAAAAAAAATATGTAATTGCGACTTTCAGGGGAGAGAAAGGTACATTGACTCTAAAAGCGGCACAACAAGAACATAGTGGTTTTTACACCTGCATTGCCAGTAATCCCGGAAGCTCTGTCAATATTACATATGAAGTTAAAGTACACGGTAACTATCGTAATCATTTTTTGAACTTAGACTTTGAACATATCTAAATAAAATCTATTAAAAATATGATCTTTGGATTTGGATTAAATATTTTGATATATATATATATATATATATATATATATATATATATATCACATTTATGAAGTACATAAGGTGGTCTTATCGCTGAAGCAATCTCTTACAAACAACGATCTATCTCTTCTATCTAAAAATCTTTGGATAGAAAGAAAAGCAAAAGATGGTAGCTATTTGACGCAAGAAGTGTTACTATTAATTAATTGAGTTAAAGATTGTATGAAAGAAAATCCTTTACATTAAAAAATATAATTATGTAATAATTATATAATTATTGACTATTTATTATATAAATAAAGATATCAATAATATTTTTGTAATATTCTAATGCACAAACCAACTGAATCGATTATTGGATCCAACAGTACGTTTTTTTTGTAGCGGCGTATTATCTTAGTGGATAATACAATAAAAAATGTAATATGTCATTATAATAAAATTATTATTTTTTTTATGTTATAAAAATAATATAAGACGTAATTATAATGTTACAGCTCCGCCAGTTATACTAAATACACATCCAGACAGAATATATACTGCTGTGGTAGAAGACTTGGCACTACGTGTACCCTGCCACGCTACTGGTAATCCGGAACCAGAAATCACGTGGCATTTAAACAGACTGCCTGTTCCTAAAGGTACATACATTAAATCATCTACATCTGTACATATTTTATTATCAATATAATAATGGACTTGATTTGTATGATAATTTAATCTCTTGTGTTTGTTTGTTAGTCTATATACATACAAATCTATAATCGTAAAGTCATCTTTTATTAAAAAAAAAAAGTTGAGTTTTTACTCGTTCCTTTATTGAAATTACATTCCAACGATAGAAATAAAAATTAAAATAATATTTTGAATCAATATTTATATACCCACATTAAACTGAGAATGTACATTAGACTACGTTCATAAGAAATAAAGATATTGTTATTAAAAAATGCTTGTAATTAAGTTTACTTGAATAGAAAATATTCTTATTCATATTTTGCTAATTGTAATTTGTGAAATAGAATATAATGTCATTCACTATTGGTGGAAAAATTAAATTTTAATAAAAAAAAATGTACCTACTTTATTTGCAGCAAACATAAATGTTCGGATAAAAATAACATTATACATGCAGAAATTTGATATGAGTACAATAAATCAGATCAAAAGATTGCTAAAAGCAATCTTTACAAGACAACCTTTGTTTATAAATTGAGAACAAATATAAATTACTTAGTTTTTTAATTAATACGTCATTCACATAGACTTAATTATTTATATATATATTCTTTATTGCACTTGTAAGTTACATATAAAATAATTTAAATGTTTAATTATTTAAATTATTAAAATAATTATTTAGTATGTTTTATTAAAATTATTTTTAATTATTATTGTTTAATAAAAGAACCAAATAATAAAACCATTAATAAAAGAAGAATATTTTTAATAATTACCATTTATTATTTACTAGTTATTACAGCCGCAGCTTTGCTCTTTGAATCAATGTTATATATTTTATTTACTATTACGTATTCTATATGTTTGTTACATGGGCAGTTAGAATAAAATCTACCTGTATATTAAGTTTGATTCAAATCTGTCCTACCGTTTAAGCGTAATAAACATCTTTACAAACTTTCTCATTTATTATATTAGTGGGATTAATCTTAACTTTGTTTTAAAGGTGAATGGTTTGATATAGAAGAAGACGGAACTCTAGTGATAAAAAATCCAGACAGCAACTCGGGAGGATTTTACTATTGTAAGGCACAAAACAAATTCGGTATCGATCAGAAATATTTCCATGTAGTTGTCAAACGTAAGTTATTTATTAGTTATAATTCTACTATTATTTATTTATATATTTTATATGTGTTATATATTTCCTATTAAATACCGCTATTTTCTTCTTTTATGCAAAAAAATGTTATTCATAAAAGAATCATTTATGAAAATTTTAAAGTTTGGAGTTTTTGTAATTTAGACTATATGTTAGTCAATCAGTTTTTAAAAATGCAAATGAGCGTTTAGTAATGCAACATTATGTTGCAAATTTTCATTATTCTTTTTTTTTTTCATTTCAATATTTATTTATTTATTTAAGGACAACCAACAAAGCATACATTTATATCTACTTAAAATATATTATAATAAGGTTACATTATAAAATGCTGCCTCAATTAAAGGCCGCCACGACATGCGCATTCTTAATATATTATTATTAGTAAGAAAATTTGCTTACTGAAACTACTTGAAATATGCTTACTTTAATCACACAATCTTTATTTAATTAAAAAAAAAGTAACTCAAAGGGTATACTCATATCTCCATCAAAAGACCCTCTGTATGTATAAAGGTTTAAAAAGTTAAGAAACTAAAGCTGTGTAAATACTAAATGTTTAGAGGTTTTATATGATATATACATATGTACAAATGTATATGTATATATAACGTGACAATTTAGAAATTTGGTGGGAATTAAGGACATTTTGAGTTTTAATCAAATGTTCGCTTCACTGAGGTTATATCACAACAATTTGAAATAACTAATTTATTACTTATTGTAGAAGTTCCTGATGCAAGTACTCCTACTTCTTCAATAGTAATCAAAGAAGGCAATACAGTTCACATTAAGTGCGATGTCCCTCATGAAAAAATCGATAAACTAAGATGGTTCAAGGTTTGTATAATTAAATAATTTTACACAGAGATAAAATCAAGTGGAAATTTGTTAGTTGGTCATAGTATTATAAAAATAGAGAAATTAATGTTAATTTTGACTGAAACAATCGAGCTCTAGTTTCTGCCCTTCTTGATATTTCGTAATTTTTTTTGTCATCTTTTAGAACAATAAATTAATAAGAACTGGAGAATTAATCCTCAATAATGCTAGAGCAGCAGATACAGGAGTTTATATATGTCGTGTGAGTAATTTCGTCGAATCTGCATCTGCTACAACCAAAGTAACAGTTGGACTAGTTCCAAGATTTAAGGTAAACGAAGAAAACACTAACATCAATTACGAAGAAGGTACAGTCATTGACCTGAACTGTGTCACAGAAGGAGAACCGACACCTCAAGTAAGTAACATAATACTTTAAATGCTAGTTAGATAGATATTCTTTATTGTTTTTTCCAAAAGATTACAGTACTTTGAAATAACAATGAGACCTTATAACTAAAAACGATCTCTTCCAGAAAACCTTTAGATGGAGGTAAAAAAATATTAACAGTTTAATGCTAGTTGCTAGTTGTTGCTAATAAATGCCAGCTGTAACTTTAATACAATAGTTATATAATTTAAATCAGATAAAAAGTGAAAGTCCAATAAAATTAAAAATTTTAATATGGCTAGGATGCACAGCAATACTACATTATTTTGCAGTACGTGTACATGTCAATAATGAATCCTTTAAAAAAAATTATCAGTGACTTCTAAAATATTAATAGCTATTATATCGTATGTTATTTGTTGTTTAAATCAAATCCAGGGCAGGTAAAGGCAATCGAGGGGAAATGAGTATGTTTTTATCACCATAATAATCAAGATGAAATACTTTTTAAAATATACTAATAAAGCAGAATAAAAATCAACCATTAAGCCTATTGAATAACAAATTAAAATGTATTTATAATTCATTCACACCTCAGGTATCGTGGTGGCATGATGGCATAATATTAGATGAAACTGAGTCAACTTATTATCTTGAAATGGAAGATGACAGCAGTATTGGACAATATACATGCGTAGTTAGTAACGAAATAGGAAGTATCAATCGTACATTTACAGTTGCATTAACAGGTAATATTTTTTTATTTGTAACAAATATAACAATTTGTAATTTTTGACATATTTATCAGAAGATATATTATGAATGAGATATAAGTTACGAACAATTTTAATTCATTATTATTATTTTACATATATTCCAAATCATGCATTTGTGAGTTTCTGTGATTTTTCAAAAACTAACAATAAAACAAAATTATAAACTATTAAATTTGATCTAAAATTAAGTAATCTAATTTACATATTACTCTATAATAATACCCGACAGTATTATTGAAGACAAATAAATAATAGAAAAGGAATATTAGTTAAATTCATTTTTTTTCTTAAAATTTGCTAACATATATGTTTTACGTGTATATTTTCTATCACTCTATTTCTTTTCAGATTGTTTACTAAACATTGAAAGAGATTTTGAAGGAAATCAACCTTTAATGGTCACAAATGACTTGAGACTGCCATCATATAAAATTATTAATAATGAAGCTGTGCGAGTGCCAAAAGATGAAGTCATAATATTATCATGTCCTGAAAGATTTAATCTTTTGCCTTTAAGTGAGGTTCAAGCTACTTGCATAAGTGAGACTGATTTCAATATAGGTGGAAGAATTTATAAATACTCCGATTTAAAATGTACAACTCCAACACAACCTGTCATTAGAAATACAGGATTACATTGCGCTGGTCCTAGAACCGAATCAGTTAAAGTTGGGTATTCAATACGAGGGCGATTCCTTGAGGTTTACGAAGTATGTTTGAGTAAAGAAAAAGGTGTTCCACTGTACACTAAAAATTTTATACATTGGACTTTAGCTGACGTTGAACCTAAAGATGCCAAATGGATAAACCACGAATCAGCACCATATGATTTCGATGCATTATATGATTGTAGAAATCAAATAACTACGATTTCCTTCACATTAGGTGAAAAGTTCCATTATGATGATGGTTGCTGTTTTGCTAAAAGACAATTGGTTAGTTCAAAAGATTTATATCCAGGACTTCCGCAAGTTACAGCTTTTAATCACTTAAATGTAATTCCTTTATGGAGTACTTGTGGTTCGAGGGTAAGTTCTTAATTTTTATTACAATTATTTAATTGAAAAACTGTAAAATAAAAATATATTGTCTATACTATTACATATTATTCTTTACTGTTATATTAGCAGTAAACTTTATATATATATTATATATATATATATATATATATATATATATATATATATATATATATATATATATATATATATATATATATATATATATATATATATATATATATATATATATATATATTATTAAAGACTACTAATATATATATATATATATATATATATATATTAGTAGTCTTTAGTATAATATATTTATATCAGAAATCCAACCTACTTTTGTCTTTTTTATCAATTTAAAGTAAAAAATTTATCTATAATTTATTTTGTCTTATTTTTCATACAGAATTGGGATGAAGTGGAAGAACGTGTAAGAACTTTAGCTAATTCGACTCATAATGAACTTCTTGTTTGGACTGGTACTTCAAAGCATTTGGAGCTTCCCAACGTAGTTTCTGATAATATAGCTATAAATATAAATGATAACACTAAAGAACAACCTATCCCACAATACATATGGAAGGTAAGAAATTAAAGTGTTATAATTTTAAAATGGACACAAGAATTTAGATCTGTTCGATGTTATTCAGTTTAGCATGATTATGAATCGATTAGATCATTTGCTAATATTTTAGACTACGTATATTACATATAATTTAGAAGCACTTTAATATCTTTCAGGTAGTGCAAAATCCACCAACTAGACAATCACTTGCAATCATAAAAGTCAATATTCCCGATATGGATCCACGGGATGCCTACAAACACATGCTTTGTACAGATATTTGCGAAAATATCTCATGGATGAGAAACAAAGCCTGGAAAGATACTACTAAAGGTTTTGTATACTGCTGCAAGATTAGGGACTTCGAACGAGCTTTCGGCTTTAACAATTACTTTAGCCCAAGTGGAAACAGAATTCTTGATGCCGTATCTATAATTTCTGATCATTCTCTTATACTTGTGTAGTTTATATACACTAAAAAAACATTAGTATTAAAAATATATACATTATAACTAATGAACAACACATTTTTTATAAAAAAAACAAATCCTAAAAAATCTAATAAACTTAGTGAAAAGTATTGCAATTCAATTTATATTTATAGATACATATAGATTTAAGTATATATCCCAAAACATCCAAGATTCGAACCATGTAATGTTCTGTGTCATGTAATATTGACCTGATCGAATTTAGGAGTTTATTTAAACAAAAAAACATGCTATCGTCATCATGATTGTCTTGAGTAATGTATTAAATACATTAAATTTATAATATTACATTAATATCCCACTACTGGGAATGGATCTCCCCTCACTAGAGAAAATATATTACATAGTCTTTATATATAGAACTAACAAGTGCTTTTTTTTAAACTGTTGTAAACAATCTCCAATTCTTTTATTTAGCTAATAGAGTACCTCTAGCACTTAATTTGAATTTGTACTTACTTTTATCTATTCGCTAAAATCACAATCACAAATACAAAGTAATTAGAAAACCCTTGTTTTTTAAACTAAGATTTTCTCAAGAATTTCTTAAAGCTAATTACTGATATAAAACCTTTTTATTGCTGTGTAGGTTAATTTTGTTTAATGTCATTAATTTTTTTTTAAATGAATCTATTGACAGATATGTATTAAAAAATTAAGATCCATTTTAATAAGAATCCGTATCTTGATAGATTATTAAAAATTTCTCATCCTCCCATCATTATCATTAACAACAGTCTACTATTGATGATATATGAAGTTGTGTTTGCATGGCTGTGTTTCAGTTTGAAGGGTGGGATATGGCGTGAATTTGCAGGGCACAGAGGAATAACACCTGAGTCCTCAGGAATGGCAACGCATGGGGGGTATCATGGGCGAAACAGTATACTCTGTTATATCCATGGTACTGCTTATGTCTATAGGCGACGGTTACCACTTTCCATCAGGTGGGCCGTCAGCTTGTTTGCCATTCTAAGCTGTAAAAAAAACCGTTATCCCAATTATTACTTGGAGTCGGCATAATATGTTTTCTATCCATATTACAAAAAGATTTGGCCTATAGTTTTACGACCGGCCGCCTGCCTGACATCAAACCTCTTTGTCCTGTATTTATTGATGGTTACCGCCACCTATGGTATGGAGGAAAGGATTGAGGAAAAAAGGAAGGCAACGTTGGAAATGTGTAAAGAAAATTGGTAAATAAGAGGAATAAGGGACTTATGTAGGAAAAGAAAGGGGAGGGAGGTGACGATTGACACTAATACCTACTAAATAGGCGGGAAGAGGAATTATTAGTAATGGGAACTAGCAATGGAGCCGCCATTGCTAGTATTATATCCTGTCAGATTGACCTCCTCGCGATTCTCTCTGGAAAACATCGTAATTTAATCTTGATGTATTTGTTAAGATGAGCTAACTAGTCTCGTCCTCACCTATCAACCCTCACCGGTGCTCCAGTTTACACCAACAGCACTGGCAGTTTATATCATTCCATTGCCAACCATTAAAATAATACTAATGCTATTATTTTTTTATGGATGATAACGCAACAGTACAACTTGCACTCTCAGTTTCGATTATCGGTGAAAAACCAGGGAAGAGTGATAGATCGAAGACAAATTATGTGGTCTACGACAATTTCATGAGGAATTAACTACGATGGTTTTCATAGAGAACCGAACCGGAAATCCATGGCTTGTTCCTATTAGTCACAATGAATTCTTATACTTATTACTCAGAATGGCAAACAAGCTGGCGACACACCTGATGAAAAGCAGTAACAGTCGCCTATGGGCATAAACAGCACCATGCATATCACAAAATACACTGTGATACCCATGCGTTACTATTCCTGAAAACTAAGCTGCTATACCTTGGTACCCTACGATTTCACCGCCATATCCCATCCTTAAAACTGTTAAGCTAATTCAGCTGTTTCACAGAAGAAACATGAGTGGAATAGAGGTACCCATGCAAGGACTTTTATACAAAATCTAAGTCTGGTGAACTTGATTATGAAATTTTAATTTTAACTATTATAATTAATGATTGTAACTATCAATTAAGCTACTCGATGAATGTGACTATAAACTATAATTTACACTATTATAGAAACATTTAAATGTAATATACATTTAAAGACGTTTACTAGATATTGTTATCTGGTAACATTAATAATAACATCGAAACGGTTTCAAATGGATCTATTTGTGTCTAATAGTTACAAAATTTGAATTCAATCATCGTTATAACGACCGTAAATACGAGTATAGTTGTATTTTTATTGTTATCAATAATTTTGAACACTATGTATCAAATGAAACAACAGTTATTTTTAACTGTTGACTATTAACAGAGGATGGGTTGGCGAAGGCCGTACCATTGACATTATGATCTCATAAACATAGGAGCGCCTTCGTTATATTAGAACCATAAACAAAGCGAACTGCAAAATGTTGCATAGGACCAATTTACTATGATTATTTCGGCATTTCTTGCTTTGAGCGATGGATCATTATCAAACATCATTACAGCTTATGGTTGAAAAAAAATGTCAAGCTTCATAGGTCAAAACATATCTGATATTGTTACTAGAAATATCAAAGCAGTATTATTAATATGACTTAGTAATGCTAGTTTTGCCTGCGGACATAATTTTCTATTCTTTTTTTAGTACAGACGCTATAATTGAAATTAAGATTCAAGATTAAAGAACATCTATAGTGTTATTAACATTTCCAATTACTTAATGAAATTTTTTTTCATGTCTTTTATTGTAGTAGTAGTAGATTAGTATTCCATGTAATTTTTTTTAATTGAAATCTTTTGTGCAGGAAAAGGCAAGATAATGGTGAACGTAGGGTTTGTAGACGTTACTATGGCTTCATTTGATGATATATTATTGATATTTGATGACTCTTTTCTTTAAAACAATAGACTATAAAAAAGAAGTAACACTTATAGAAAAGAATATACGATTTTCTTTTTCTCATGTTTATTTGAGAAAAAAGTTCCAATAGACAAACACTCCCTTTAAAGGGCAGAATGGTTTTTATTCCACCTGTAACTGTACTTAAAATTAAAAAGTGCTAGGATTTACCAGAAAATTATTTGCAAATAAATTTGTGATCGGGTAAGAATTGGTAACGTTATTACATAACACTAAAAATACAGACAAATTAAGAAAAACCTTCTTTTGAAAGTTATTTAATATAAATAAGTTTACAACTTTGTATTTGACATAATCTCTAAAGTTAATCAGTGTTCACAACTTGAATTAGTTTTCTTTTTCGATAAATTGCTCAATTCGGATCTCACAACTTGATAGTTTTGGATCATTACGCAAATCATATATTGTTTCATTACATAAGTATTTAGATTAAAAATAACGGATTTTAATTTGGAAATATAACTAAATCAATATTATACACTTTCTGTTTTGATTATTTCTATATTTGATACATTGTTATGATAAAAAATAATGTTGGCTCATTCGATCATACACTCACTCGCTCACCCTCTAGTTCTCTTCGTGTCTTGCTTGCAACATCTACTCCTAATATTTATGTATATAAAAACATAAGTCACCTGAAATTTACTCTAAACGTGACTTTCTTTTATACACCAACAAATTTGATACCAAAACGAAATACAATCTTAGTGAAAAGTGAAAACAATTTCATTAAAAAGTGAAAATTGTTTTACCGCGTTATAACGTACGTGCCGGGTATATTGGTTATTACTGTTTAAGGATTTAATCGATTATTTCTCAAATACCACCAATGAATTGCTGAAGTGATGGTTAAGATAAACCGTTTAATACAGATAAATTGAAAATCTGGATACGCAGGCCTATGGCTCTGTATCGAAATTCAAGCACTAACATACTATCATCATTAAGATATTTATTTTTTATTTATGGACAACCAACAAAACACACATTTATATTAACTAAAAATACATGATAGTATGGTTACATTATAAAATGCCGTCTTAATTAAAAGCGACACGTATATTTATATTTGTATTCTGTTAAATGATATAGATTTGTAAATAGTAATACATAATCAAATTCATATACAACATAGTATATTCTATTATTTATAGTAGTTCATCAAATTAACCATCAGCTTGTTTACTATTTATACTTTTAGACAAGGATAAATTAAAGTTTCAAAAATTGTTTATAAATACATTACAATGTTTAGTTTTGTTTAAAAACCAATTTATCATTGGTTGCACTTAAAAAAACATTTAAATAAAATTAAATACAAAACTTTGAATAATGATGACAAAACCCATACATATTTCATGCACCCATCGTAACACTCATAAATGAAGTCACACGTATCAAGTATTCGTTATTTATGTATTAAAAACATAATATTAAATAACGTATTTAATAACGAATAACAATCTAACAATCATTTATAGCCAGTTCAAATGTCAACTTAGCAAAACGCGTTATTCTTAGCTCAAATAAAAAAAAAAGAGGATTTCCGCAAGATTATTATATTTCATTGCGTCTTTTGTGAAGCTTTGTTATCAGATTGTACATTGATTGATAAGTATACACAAAACAATGTCGAGATGTTTTAAAGCTCAATCAATAAATGTCAATTGTAATCACTACGTGATTCCCAACGCATTGCCTCTTGGCTATACGGATGTTGGGGTCAAGGACGCATATGTCTAATTCTAATTGAATTTACAATAGAAACATTTAATGGCTTAAATATTACGTCCATTGTGTGCAACCTTTGATGGACCCAATAAAGGTCAAAATCAAAACATTAGGACAAATTAGGCGTGAATTTTAGTGATGGATAAATAATTACATGATAACTTGTAAGCAATTTAAATATGATTTATTATTTCCGCGGATTCACTTTCGCGGGTTGTTATAAATAAAAATAACCTAAAAGCATTAACATGATTATTTGTAAAGACTTAGAATTTAGACGTTCATTTCTGAAATATTTTAAATATGGTGCATAAACAGAATAGAGCCTATGTTTACATTATTGTAGTTCACGTGGAAAAGGCCATAGTTTATATTTAAGAAAAATATAGTTACGATTTTATTCAC